CACCGTATGCAGCTGAGCAGGAAGCGATTTTCGCCAGGCTAAATAAGGGCTAGGGGGTGGCTTACTGTTTGTGACATGCACAGATCCGGACTAACCTCTATTTATTACCTGTGATTCTCTCTCTCTGTGCAAGGGCCGGAAAGAGACCGTTGTTATAATAAATAAATACGCCCCGACTATAGTAGACTGTGTAAGATACAAGACCTGGGGATGCTTTTGTCGGGACGCGGAGAGAGGCTGCTGTTGGCGTGGCTTTGGGTCTCTTTGTTCTCGGGCCGGGTATTGAAGTTTCAGCTTGAATGCATTTTACCTGCTGCCGAGGCATGCGACAATCGCTAAGCGGGATTATTAATTAATTGCTTGATGCTGCAAAGCCTCGTTTTCAACGCCACCTGCCACGACATGCTACCTCAGGTTTGATAGCAGCCACATATGAACAAGGAATACCGAAGGTTGCAGCAATATAATTGCATTTTAATAGATTAATAAATGAAATTAACAAATTTAATATATGTCAATTGAATTTGCTCAAACTGCAATCTCAATTTTTTAAATTATGAACTTCATTTACATTTCATTAACAACAAGACCAAAAAATTTCTCAAAACATTAATTAAATAATATAGATGAAAAATTTATTTTACTTCCTACAATCGACTATAGCAAATATGTACTTATTTATTGTTAAAAAAAATTTAAGATAGCAGTAAAAACCTCAAAATTTAACAATGCAAATTTAGCAGCACAAATGATTTAAAAACATTGCATGACATTATTTTCCCTGTATTCAAAAACTGTTCTAGTAGGAATATTTAATCTCATTTAGAATAATTACTTTATTTCAACTTGCTAGTCAATAAGTTGTAGGCTATTTTTGAGAAATAATTAACTTCTCTTTCACATAAGGATAAGAAATCAATTTATCAAAAATATAGGTCCTGATCCTAGGGATCTATAAGAGACAAATTGCGGTTCGTTTTTCATCAGACCTCAACATTCTGAATGCAGTTGAGCAGCCCGACAGCCAGAGGCCACTTTGAATGGCACACGCGATCATTCTTATTAATCCAGTGATTGAATAGTGACGCACGGATCGAGGCACGTCGAGCACATCTGCATTTCTTGTGCTGCGCTGGCAGTAAATCGACTGACATCAATAATTTTCCATGCGAGTACACACTCTATTGCACGAGTATGTGCTGAAGCCGCAAGTAGGTATGTACGTTGCACCCAATCGGATGATCGATTCCCGAGCACGGTCAACCGGCCACAGCGAGCACTTTCACAGTTTTAAAACTTGAATATAAATGAAAGGCGTGTGTAAATGAAAATAAGAACATTATTATTTTTTACTCCTCGTCGTTTTCAACCGCTTTTGAAATAATATTAATGCCCTTTGAGAGCGAGCAGGAAAGCTTTTCCTCTCGCACCAGCGGTGGCCGTGGGCGAGAAGTTTACCCTTCAGAGCATCCCACTCCCATTGGCTACAAAAGCGACCAGCAGGAGGATGGAAAATCCACAAAGGAGCATAAATCAAAGAACGGTGGCGTGATTAGTCTGGTGTTATCGCAGCCATTGTTATCAGCCAGGCCAACAATGAACTCGTCTCTTTTCCGCCCTGACTGCGAACCAAGATAAAGCAAAGCATGAAGCATTACCTGCAACAGGAAAAACTGACTATCTCGTGATGAAAGACCTTTCAGCGGCACCAGTGTGAGGCGAGCGTGCACGTACGTGTTGGCCAGCTCCCTGTGCTGTGCATCAAACTTCATCATGGACTCCTTAAGCACGTTGTTTGTGGCAAATTTATCTTTTCACATTCAGTATCAAATTATTAAAAAGAAAAACCAGCATGTGGTTTTTACATTATCAATAATTTTCTGGTCAGTAAACCAGATTTTTAAAAGTCCAAAATTAGAGAAAAAAGAAATATAATTATTAATAATAATTAAAATTAATAATTTTTAGCTTTCAATTTTTACTTTTTCATTTCTATTCCTCTTGAGAATGGCACCAGCGGTAGCAGGCAAGTCTGCTAAATCCATGGACCGATAAAACTAATGGATTATGAAGTTTATTTGTTATGAAACTAATTTTGAAAGAAATTACGGTCGTATTTCGAGCAAAAAATGCAATGCTCTAAAAAAATCTGGCGAACATGGAACATCGAAAATTGCGGCTCCCTCTTTATTTTCTAATTAGAAAATAAGCGTACCAGTGCGCAATGAAAAAAGTCACAAGCTGACGCACGCTTCGTTTTTTACCAAAAGCATCTTGCTTCCCTTGTGAGCCAACAACGGGATTAAAAGCTAAATAACTACTGATACCATCGATCGCAAGAGGCGGCGGCTTCCTTTTTATCGCCAGGCCTATTTGCCGGAACGACTTTTCCCTGATAAAATCGCACTTCTCTCTCATCAGAGGGAAAAAGTGCCTGTAGCTTTGCGCAAACCAAGTTGTAACCAAGTTGTATTATAGACAAACTTCTTCTGGCACAAAACAAAAGTTTGATTCATTCACGAAGAATCTTAATTTATGAATTAAGGTTTTAACTTTTTATCGGAGAGAGGGTTGGAGAAGAGACGTGTGCGTGCGCAAAAGGAAGAGAGAAAGTCGTTAAAGTGCTCACTCCATAAATATCATTGCGAATTCAATAGTTTTGACATTCAATTAGTACTTGCAGGAGAGTTATGAGGTCGGATGCGAACCTCAGACCTGAAAGCATCCACCGACGCTCTTTCTCTAGCCAGCCAGCATCAGCCGCCTTAAATCTCCCGAGAGCAATAAACAACCGACCTCTCTCCAGCCTTATCTATACAAAGAGCCGGCGAGCCCTGCACGGGATTGCATTTCAATAAGGCGGCCCCTTTCTTTTTTATGGCCTTTATAGGCAGCCGCCTCTTACTTTAGTAGTGAGGAAAACGGCGAGAAAATGATATATTGAGTGGGCGAGCGAGCGAGCGCCTTCAGTATTAGGTGCCACGCAACCCGCACAACGCGCTGCCCATCCAGGTAGCCTAATCTACTTAGGCCAGGCGAAAAAAAGACGTGGAGCTCTTCCATTTCATTCTAAATGGATTTTCTACGTCTTGAAATTGTGTTTTCAGTCTGATTCATTTCAGCTTTTTTCATCGCTGCAATTTTATCAACGGTCAAGAGAATTTCCCCCCTAGAATTATTGCAAGGCCATTCAATAAAATACTTTCGGAATCAAATTAAACTGCAACATTTATGGTACTCTAACCTACTTTGAGACATATTGATGTTGTGAAAGTCTGGAATAGTAAAAAGTATTTTAAAAGAAATCTGTTGAAAAAAAAAATTGAAATTTCCACACACCCTATATAAACAATGATTGTGACAATATTGACAAATAAACAACAACAATAACAATAAAACAAAACAAAAATTTTCGGAGAACTAAATTTGATTATCCTCACCGTAATAATCGAATATTAAGGACATTTCACATTACAAAAATTGCAAAGGTATCTTTAAAATAAATACGATTCTCCAAAGCTTGAACCAGCAACGCAGACTCTGAATTAAAAGAAATAAAACGCTAAGGGAGGCTATCTCTCTTTTTCTTTCCTATTTTCTTTCCACCTAGATGTGGGGAGGCCAATAAAAGACTGATTCCCTCCGCATTTTACGACCAGGATTTGTAGCTTGTTTGGAAAATCCGACGCCATTTTCAGGTAACGAGAACGAGCAAATTGGAAATTCTTCCTTTTTTCCCACGGCACCAATCGTAATCGCCGCAGTTTTGGTGGGAAAAACGTGGGTTGCTGGTTTATCCACGCAGAAATTGATGCAACCAATCTGCTGGAATATCAATTAAATGCCGTGAAATACCAACGGAGCAGGAAGAAAGCAAATGTGGGGCAAAAACAAGCTAGATTTATCGCTGTTTGCTCCACTAATTGGCGTTTTAGGGTGTTTCAATCTTGTGCCTTTATACATAAAGACATTTGCGCTGAAGATAAATCTTCAACTCTCAAGAATTTACTGATCTCTTTTTTCTTCTCTAAGCCTTCATCAAAAACGATTTTTAGTGTTTTCCTGATTTTCGGAATGCGATATAATTAGATAGATTAAAAGTATCTAGACAAAATTACTTTATTTTATGCAGAATATTTTAATTTTTGTGCTACAAAACCCTTTAATAATGCATATGAAATAGCAAATGATATCAGCACAATTTCACACGCTCTCGTGTTTTCCATTTCAACCAAAAACTCGCAACTTCATTTTGTAAAATGTGGAAAGTGAGTGTGTCGCTCTACATTTATCATGCAAAACAAAACTGGGGCTTACAGCTGGTAATTTTGTCGCAATTTATTAGCTCACGTGCCGCCGCTGCGCAAAATTACGGCCGGCAACAATAAGTGCCTCTGCGAATTCATTACTTGCACAAGCGCTACTCACTCAGCCGGATTCATTACGGCATAAATGTTCGGCCGAAAACTAACAGGGCTGACTGACAATCAATTTTAATTAATTCCACGCAAGTCCACACACAAACTTTTTGAAAATCACAAACTCGTCGCCAATGCTGGGAATTTTTTAACATTGTTCAAAAACATTTTACTTGCTGCGTTTTAGTTATTTCTAACAATTAAAAGCCGTGACCAAATATTTAATATTGGGGCCAAGAGTAGGTGAAAGAAGAGGACATAAAAGTAAAACTGCTAGAACAGAGGCAGGAGACTGAACTACTTTTTGTATAACAAATGGTAGAAAACGTTGCATACTTTTCAAACACGACAACTTCGCGAACGATGACACTGAGCTCTAATTTGACACCAGAGACCGCGAATGCAGCTAAAAGCCAGCTTTCCGTCGCATAAAAATAACGACACACATCTGGAAGGCTTGGGTCAAGAACAAAATAATGCTTTCTTTTGCTTTTTATTAAGTTACGAATGAGCTGGCAGCGCACGACCAGCCGGAGTAAAAAGCGCTTCGCGGTTCTGCAAGAGCCAGTTTGATTGTGCCCGTTAGAAGAGAAACTATGGAGACTAAACGAGCGATATTTTTTGTACTCCTGTGTCTACAGGCTTTCGAATATTCCAAAGCCAGAGTAATTATTTCCTCTTATCCTTTAAGGAGTATATTTTAAGTTGGTTTTTATTAGAAATGTTTGAGCTCTCGGGAGCAAGCAGGTGACTTGTGCTCCGCGAATATGGAGTTTTTGAAGACAGAAATCGACAAAGCGACACAGGAGTAAGTTTTCATCATTGGGAGGTAAGAAAAAAGTGACATTTTTCAATTTTTCCAGATACAAAAACACTTTGGAGATGAAAGTTGACGAAATTGCCAATATTTTGAGGCATATCAACAACGACAACGGTGCCAGAAGTATTGATATGCCAGTAAATAGCTGTTTTTTATTTTTTATTTTCGTCGAGTTTACTTTCAATTTAACTTTTAAGATTGAAGATCACGGTTCCAATTGCACACTATCTAATCTGAGCTCAAAACTGGCCAATTTCGAAAGTGAACTTACTGCAACTTTGAAAGAAATTCCAAATCGGATAAACAGGGCTGACGTGAAATACGAGATGACGATGAAAAAGTTTGAGCAAGACAAACTCTCTACTATGAAATATTTGGACGTGAGGCTAGGCGTAAGTAGCTTTTAAACTGAAATAATACTATTTAACCGTTAAATCAATTTTCTCTTGAAGGAGCTTAAAACGTCTATCTTGACTGAAGTTTACGCCAAAATTGCCGACGTCATTCGCAGCAATGAAAAGCTCACTATCGGCCAGCAACAAAGCGTCCAAGGATTGGAAAGCAGAATTTCGGTATTTCAATATGCAAAATTAATTATCATTGTAACAATCAAATTAAGTTGAGATTGGAGCCTTTGATGGGAAATGTGGAGCAAAAGATAATTGAATTCTTAGATGCTTTGAATAATACTGAAGGAACGCGATTTTCTCCAAATGTGCATTCTGTGACGAATTCCACTAACGCTGAAGATGTATTTGACGTAAGAACACTTAATTTAAATCTATTTTGTAATTTCATTATTTCTTTTCATTTAGTCTATGAACTCGACAGTTCTTTCTCTTTTGAGCAAGCACTTTGCAGATGTAGAAACGAAGCAGAGTGAGCGAGACCGCCGTGTTGAGGAATCGATTGAAAATTTGGATGAAAAGATAACTGTAAGAGACACTAAGAGAATTATCCGTAAGAGAATTTACTGATAATTTAGTTTTTGCAGACTCTTGTGACGCCTATAGCACAAGACGTCAAAACAAACGCTCTTAGAATAAGCAGACAAATCGAGCAGATGGACCAAGAGTGGAAGGAGAGGGGGCAAGAAATGGAAAATTTGCTTCGCAGCACATCCGAGTCCCTAAAAAAGGTTTTACATCTTCAAAATAAAGTTGAGAAATGGTTCTTCAATTCACATGACATGTTGCTGAAGAATTAATTTAATCATTGTCCTGTTTGTAAATTATAAAAGTAAACAAAAAATTGTCCGTTTCAGATGGAAATGAAGCTATTGTCTGATTGCTCCAAGTCTGGTAGATAAAAAAGCATTTTAAAGAAAAATTAATTAAAATTAATTTCCAAAATTTAGGCCGCTTGAATTTGACAACTCTGGACACAGGAAAATATTACTTTAGCACTGTTGAGGTAAAAAAAAAAAATATTCCACATTATTTTTTAAATGAATTTCCTTACTTGACAGGTGAGCTGGTTCAGGGCTAAAGATTTTTGTCAACGATTCGGAATGCATCTGGCCACTATCGAGACAGACGAGGAGAGAAAGGCAATTCATGCCGCAGCACCCATCAGAAATGGTTGGTTCAAGGAAATTAACGCATCAATTTTTATAATTTTTCCGTCTTTGATTTTCAACAGACTACTTCTGGCTGTCGGGAAGTGACATTGGAAACTTGCCTGGCCACTTCAACTGGGTGACGGAGGAGCAGGTTGATGACACTTGGTGGGCGAGCGGCCAGCCCAACGACTTTGGCGAGGACAAGGAGACATGCATTGAACTTTTCACCAACAATGGCCTTCTCATAGACTACAAGTGCAGCGACGACGACTATTTCGTCTGCGAACTTGACCCAGAATGTGAAGGCTATGATGTTCAGCTGCCTTCTAATGCTCATTAGTTTGTTTAAATACTCTTTGGTTTTAGTCATTTTCTAGATTTAAAGTTATCATTTAAGTGCATGGAAAGCTTGGTGAAAAGTAAAAAAAAATATATAATTTAAAACGCACCTACTCGAAAGTCTTTGTTTCTTTATAATTCCTGAGGAAAGTTTCATATTTTCGCGTGTCGAAGATTAAAATTTTTGACGCTCTGCAGATGCGGGAAAGCTATTCCGGCAATAAAGGACGGGAAATAAAACGTTAGTATTTCTGCCGCCCGTGCTGTGCTTTATGCCCATCCATATACTTTATTTGTTAAAATAAAAACATTCGCCAGTTGTTACACATTCGCGTCCTGAGGCGTAATATAACGGCCTGCTTTTGGGGCATATATATGAAGCACGGCTCAATATTTGAAATGCAGACCATAAGCAAGGGCAATTTAGTTGAAAAACGGTGGCACTAAAAGTTGTATTGGAGGTGCGAAAATCGTATTATACTGCGACCATGGCGTGCCTTTGCGGCTCTGCGCACATCTCCAGCTTCCACTTATACAGAATTTTTTCTGCAAAATGAAACGGTCGGGGCCAGCCATTAAAACACGGAGCTATTTTATTGCTTTTTCTTACTAAAAGCTCTTTGTGAGAGCAGAGGAAACTATGAAAGTTTTTATAAAATATAAAATTGTATTTTTCCTGGCTTTTTTATAACCTTTTTTGTGTTAATATATTTTAAGTGGAATATGGTTCGTGGCCGTCGTGGGAGGAGACAGAAAATAAAGTAGGGCTCACAATTATAAAAAAAGAGTAAGTTAATTCTAGTGAATTTTAAATTTAATTTCTAGATAATAAAATGCAAACTATTCTAAAACTTTTGATAAGAAAAACATACACCAAAATGTATAATTATTGAAAAACAAGAAAAAAATGCCATTTTAACAAAATATAAAATAAAATGGTGTCAAATTTTCACAAGAAAAAATTAACCCGGATATCATTGAAAATTATTAAAATGTGATTAAATTGACTTTGAAATTTGCATCAGACAGAATACTACATATTCATGGTTCAATCGTAAAATTTGAACTATAATAATATGCATAGCAAATTTGCATTCGGATCAATATTAATCAGCTGAGATGCATAAGCCATGCAGAGACAATTCAATAAAGTCAATTGATTGACAGCTGAATATCGCACTTTGAGAATTTCCAATATCTAATTAATCAAATATATTATACTGATTGTGAGAGGTATTTCGCGATGCCGAATGTATGCAACGCGAGTCCCCGCGAGCCTCTAATTATATCTCACCCTGCTTTGCAAACTCAACTGCTCTCAACCTGCCTATACACTTTACATCCCTCTGGCCTAATCCATCTATTTGCGCTTAATACACTTGGCTGTCAACAAACGAGTCTCGCGACCACCGAGTCCAACCTTAATGAATGCTGCTTGTTGCGGTCACTTTTGTCCAGCATTACGTTGTTATTATGCAGCCCGCGCACTTGCGCTTCATTATTCTAATTATGTGCTGAATAATTGGTATGAAGGCGAAGCACTCTCATTTAGTGAAGCAGCATTGTCATCACAATATAAAAAAATGGACAAATTAAGCCCTGCTACCGTTCCAACTTGCATCAACATTTGCGCAGTGGTTTGAGAAAATATAGAAAATTTTCAAAAATAACAAAAGAAATTTTCAATCATTAGAACGAAATAATCTTTAGACTTTGCATTTGCATTTCACATATTGCATTGCAAATAAAAACATAAATATTTATGTAAAAAAAATAATAACTTAAAAATGTATTATTTTTCTACATATTAAAACAATATTTTTAAATTACAATTAAAATGTTTAAATTCCGGTGTGGAAAAACGGTTTCGTAGAGGTTTATTTTAAAGTTAACTTTGTCAATCTATTTCCTATCTACACCAATTTTTGCCAAATTCTTCCATTCAGATTAAGTGTTAAAAGGGCCCCGTGATCACACTTTTTTATAGGTTATGAATTTGAACGTGTTAATTGTTAAAGCAGTCGGAGCAACGCAAATTGTCGGGTGACGGACAATTCGGAAACTGAAAAAAAATCGGCGTTTGACTTTCTCTTTGCTTTCGCCAATTTTGGCAAATTTGAACCAAAGAAACGCAATCTCCCTATAGGCGTCACGGCAGGCAGACGCGCGTACGCGAGAGAAGAGGGGCCACGTGTGCCAGCAGGCCGATGTGGCCGATGCGACACGGCGAAGGGCGAAGCAAAGAAATAAGCGCGTTTAATAAAATTATATTCGCGGTTTGATCCTACCTTGGGGGCACGGCGATAGTCCCTGATCCATTTGAGGTCCTCGGCAGGTCAGCGAAATCCTCCGTCGGCGCAAATTCGGCAAGATGAGGGCCGCAGAGGTACCGAGAGGCGAATTTTGTTATCGTCCTCGCAAGTTCACAATTTCACATTCGAGTCCGTGCACAACATCAAACTCACTCCACAATCCACAATCACTCAAATCGCTCTCACTCTCCCTCAGCCTCCAATCCTGCTGGCGGTGGCTACTGCTGCTTGAAGACCAGGGAACAAGTTAGGACGGGATTGAGAAGAGAAAAAACCGCATGCAATTTACTGTTCAAGGCATGCGGCATGGTGTGTACTAAAGCGTTTATGTTGAAGCCGCTAAATTGTTGTTTTGACTGCGAAATATTTAATCTTTAAATATTCTTAATTCAATTATATGAACGAAATTTACGTGACTAGACTTGATGTTTAGTTAAATCAATTAAATTTTTATTGAAATTAAAAATCATTTTCGAGATTTTGTAGTTAAAAATATAAATGATTTTGGTGTTTTTGGATTTCAAGTCACAACTAACAATTAGATTTCAAAGTAAAAAGGATGCGCTCGAGGCAGCATCTTTTCTGGTCTTTTCCATCTGCACGTGAGTTTTGTTGATTCCCTGAGGGACGGCAGCGGTTGGTTGCTCGGTTCAAGAGAGTGTGACATATTTTTCTGTCACACCATTCTCGCGTTGATTGATTCAGAACTGCCACTTTGGTCCCGACAGAGTTGGCGCCGCCGACTTTCTTCTGCTTTCTCGTTCCCGTAAGAGTTGCGTGCTGCAAATATTACAAACTTTGGAGCGCGTCAAAATAAGTTTGCCGGCAGCGAGATAAACCTCATGTTTTGCCATTGGTCTCTGCTTGAAATGCAAACTTTTTATTCAGCGACGATCACAAATTTCGCTGAGCAGAAAACGCTAGGAAGCTGACTTTTAACACAGGGAGCAACACACCACGTCCCGGCGTAAAATTTCTTGATAATAGTGAAGTGCCTGTGTGTCAAATCAGAAAAGTTTCAGCTCTGCAAGTGCAAACCGAGTGATGCCTTTCAGAATTTACTACGCAACGGAAAATGTGAAAAGTCTTTTTTTTTTAAAGTTCATGCAAATGAAGCAAAAAAGGGTAAAGTTTCTTTTTTAATCTCCAAATCATGCCTATTTTTAAAATTTATAAATGATCAGATCATAGAAGTAATAAATTTTAATGGTTTGATTCAGTGCATTTAATGAATGAAACAAATACTTTGCACATTATATATTTTCGAATATAACATTTAAATTTATTTCTTGTTATTTTATTTTTGAAATTTACAAAGTTTTTTTACAATTTTTGTTCTTGCATTTTCTAAATTTTGCTGCCAAAATATTGATTTAATGTGTGTAATAGAGATTGCATGATTTGTCCAATAAGTATGCCAATTTTGCTCGTGTATTAAAATTCCATAATCATCTCATCTCGCAGTGCCTTGCCTACTTGACTATTGTGTTTTAGATTGAATCCACGAGTTAAATTAATGTCAAAAGCACACGTAAAATCAAAATCAAAACCAGTTATAGGCCTGGCCTAGTCAGCCTCATACAAATGGAGGAGCAAAAGCAGATTTGCCGTCAGCATAATATGTATTATATAGGCGCGTGTATGAACAGTATGCTAATGAATTTGGCTTTGAATGCGTGTTGTACATACTAGGGCACAAAACATAGGCCCATTAGTAAATCGGCGTTAGACGCAGCGGAGCGCCATAAATCTGCGCGCGTTTGGCGGCGCTGGCTGAAGGGACTATAAAATTATGTTTTGTACGTTTGTCGGCGCCGCATTAGTCGCATGGGTGTTTTGCTCTCGAGCGCAGCATCAATCACGACAGCGCCGCGCCGATTCACTTTATATTATGCGCAAGTAAATTAATTGCCAGCGGACACCTGGTCATACCCCTCAGGGGTGTCTCAAATTGATTCATAAAATTGCAAGGCACCACTATTTTGGTAAAGCATTGTGAGGGAGGAAATTTTGGTTTTCAGTTGTCAAAAAAAAAAAAATGTATTACATAATAATTATGATAATTATTAAAAATTGCAACATTTAACATAAAAATATTTTTTTTATTTAATTACCTCGCCCTCTTCATGATTTTTTTAATTATGAAATGCGCTAGCTGGTGCTAGCAATGCATTTTTTTTTTATTACTTTTAGTTTAGTTTCAGAATTTTGTTTATTGGGTTCAAAACTGAGGGCAACTTTGCCCCATACATGAACTCATCCAAATTAATGACAAAATAAAAATTTAAAAATTTAGTTTACGCTGCATTGTATTATTCATATTTTTGTAAAGATTTGTTTTTTGATGTCCTGGATTTTTATAATTATAAATTATAGTTTCGACTATATTTAAGTAATGATGACGCAAAATATATTTAACTAACAATACAATTTTCCGAAATTTTAATTGATTTTGTTATTATTAAAATGATGTTATAATTATTTCAGTAAAAAAATAAATATTATGTATAACATCTTTCTATAACTTAATTAAATTAAATTAAAGCTCTAGAAAAAACCGGAAAAAACATTCATACACACTAGCGGTGGGAAACAGAATCATACATACATTGGGACTTGGGACTGAATTTAATTTTGAAATACATACAACAGATAATTACAAAATGTTAAAGCTCCAACAATTTAGTAAGAAAAATACAATGTATCAAAAATTATAAAAAGTGGTATATGCATTTTTAAGTTCCCGCTTCTTGTTCTCCCCGCGGCTGTGGGGGGCGTGACTATTTTTGACCAAGAAGCAAGAAGTTTGATGCAAGGAGGTTTGATGTTTGTTGACTTTCGATTTTGTATTGCGGCTTGCTGCTTGCTTGTCAGCTAGTCACTGTGCCCGCTGTTCGTCTGTTGTGTTGTTATTTGTTCATTTTTTACTGCAATTCTGCTGGGAATGCAACGCCGCCAACAATAATCCACACATTTTCAATTAAAATCTTTTATTTACGACGGAATAAACCTTGCTTTTTATACAGGAATGGCCCATGAATGAAAGTAAGTCTGTCCCTATCGATCCCAATCAAAAACCTTTTTAAAACGCGTCAGAAAATTGCATTATGCATGTTTCATGTCGCATTTTGCTGATATTCATGCCATGGGTGGGTGGTTTTCTCCAGTTTTTATGGTAATTTTTTTTTAATTATTTATTGTGCATGTTTGTAATTTAGTTTTTAATCAAACATAAATTTTTAGTTTTATTTTGTTACAAGTAATAAGAACTTAATTAAGTGCAAATCTATAATATTATCGCCATTATTTATCGGAGATAATTGTTTGAATCTGATCATTGAATTTTTGCAAAATGTTTTTCTTTTTGAAATTCATGGTCATGACCATTATAACATACATACATAGATGATACGGCGTCTCTGAGCAAGTCATGGCCAATAGCTGATAACAAATTTTTGCATCTTTCTCAATTTTGTGCCATTACTATTGACAATTTGGGGGTGCAACCTCAAGGAAAAGTTGTTTAAAATAAAAATCTGCTTCGATTGGTATATAGAAATTCTCCGAAATCTCAAAATCGTCTCAGAAAAATGCTAAATACGTATCAGGCGACCAAAAACCGATCATCTTATCTGATCTTATCATATGAAAAAGAAGAAACATAAGAAACTTAAAAATAAAAACCTTTTTATGTGTACAACAGAGCGCAAGATCACTCACGAACTCATGAGATTTTAATTCAATTCACTTCTTTGCTTATCCCAGCTTTATATCTCACCAATTTAATTTGTTTCAAAGGAAAAATTCTTGATAAAAATCTAACAATTTAAAACTATGTCTCAGATTTTTCTATTTTAAATTTTTCATGCCGTGAATTTTTTTACATGCATAAATTAATGATCGTCTTTTATTTTTAGGGTCAAAATGATTGACGACCAAGTTGCTGATCAATTGTGGTTGGTCTTGGAGAAGGCTTTCAAGGCAATCCAGAGCAAATGCAAAACCGAGAATCTCAGTTTTGTCGAGCTGTACAAAAATGCATATGAGTTAATCATCAACCAAAGGAGCAGCAATCTATATTTCCAGTTGAAACATGTAGTGGAGGAGCATTTATCAACAACTGTAATGGCCACATTTAATTATGGAAAAGACCAGAAATTTAATATTTGCATTTACCTCTCAGGTCAGAACGAGAATCATGAACTCCATGGATGGAAATTTCTTGGCAACTTTGGCTCAGGAGTGGAGTGACCACGAGGTGGCAATGCGTATGATAAGAGACATTGTCATGTACCTTGAATTGGCCTACACTGATAATCATGACATGGACAATGTGTTCAATCTTGGAATGATCTGCCTTAGAGAGCAGGTAATGCATTCTTTACTATTATCTGAAGTAGGAGGACAAAAAAAAATATTGTAATTGTTTTATATAATACAGTTAGTCAATTTCCCTGCTATCAAAGAAATGCTTGTATCGAACCTTCTGGAACTGATTGCTAAGGAAAGAGCAGGAGAGGTGATTGACCGAATGGCCATGAAAAACACGCTGAACATGCTGATCATTCTGGGAATCTCGTCCAATGATTACTACACATTGACCTTTGAAAATGATTTCATCAGGAAGTCGATTTCATTTTACCAGGTAATGTAATCTCATAAATTATGAAAAAAACAAAAAACAAATACATAATATCTGTGAGTTTGGCCATATATTATTTTTTTAAATGCTGAATAGATGGAAGCGTCAAAGTTCATTAAGAACAACAAGCTGTCCGACTATCTTGCAATGACAAAGAAGCGGATGGATGAGGAGAAGGATAGAAACCAGCATTACCTTCCCAGATCCACTCACGAGAGAATTATCTCAGTGGTCGAGAACGAACTGGTGAAGAGGCGCATGAAACAGATTCTTGAGGTTCTTGATTTTGCGATGGTTTATCTTGTTTGTATATTAACTTGATTTTATCCTCACTTAAAGATTGGCAACGGTGAAGTGCGCAGAGCAATCGTAGCAGAGCAAATTTCAGTTCTTAAAAACCTCTACACTATTTTCAAGAAACATGAAGGTGGCACTGACCTTATTCTGGAACAGTTTCTTAAGACACTAACAGAGCAGTGTACTGCTATCCAACAAGAGGAGCAAGCTGGGAATGCAGCAGCAGCAGCTGGTCCATCTCGAGACAATAGTCCGACAACGGCAGCCATCAATATGGTCCAGGTACAGAAGTCGAGTTAAATCGGAAGGCAAATTTTTTATTTAATCTGCTATTTTCACTTATGCATTGCATTTTATTATTTGCTAACTTGAACCAATTTTTTTTATAGAACCTCATTGAAATCAGAATCAAATTCAACAAGATTGTGGATGAAGCCTTTGAAAAGGATGCAACTTTTGCTGATAAACTTGACACAGCATACAAGAACTTTGTCAAAGAAAAAATTAATGTTGCAGAGTCACTTTCTCTACACATAAACAACTTCCTAAAAAAGGGAGACAAGAATGTAAGAAAATTATTTTTTATTCTGATATCATTTGATTTTTTAATTCAATCCAGATATCTGATGAAGAACTTGAAGTCAAGATGGATGGTTCCATGTTCATCGTGAAGTGCTTGCGAGATATGGATGCATTTGAACAATATTACCGCAAACATTTTTCTCTTCGGATTTTGGAGGATAAATCTATTGGCGATGATATTGAGAGAGCTATGGTCGGAAGATTGAAGGTTAATTTTTTTTATTGATACACATCACTAGCGAGTTAATTAAATATTATTATAGGCATTATGTGGATGGCAAACCACACATCATCTGGAACAAATGTTCAAAGACATTCAAATGTCGTCAGATTTCTCCGACGAATTCAAGAGGATGCTAAACGAGAATGAGCATTTGAGGGTAATCAATTATTTTAAGTGAATTTTATAGGTTGTAATTGTTTTTTGCAAATAATTTTAGAAAACAGAGACTGATCTGCAAATCAAAGTTGTCCGAGAGGGGGTTTGGCTCACAAGACCACTGGATTCGACCATTGTAATTCATCCTGATGCAGTCTCCTCGTACGAGCTTTTCCAGCTGTAAGTACACTAACCAGTAACATATAACCGTCTGTTTAATACATGCTTATTTAAGGTTCTATTTGAAAAAATTTGAACACAAAAAGATCCGACTTCACCCCTCTTTTGGAAATGCAGACTTGAAAGCAAGATTTTTTGATGCCAATGGAAAAATAGTCAGAACTCAGATTATTAATGTTCCTACTTTGATGATGTTTGTTCTTCTGCTGTTCAACGATAATGAAGTGCTCACATTGGAAGCAAGTATTTTTTTATTATTTATTTTTTAGGATATTAGGATATTTTTTTTCCAACAAAGTAATCAACTCAAAATATCCGTCCAGGAAAAGCCAAAATTTCAAAAACTTTTATTTAATGAGTAGCTTGCATATTACTATGAAAATTTATGCTTCTCCTAGGAAATCAAATCTGCTACTAGCATGCCTGAAAATCAGGTGCGCATCATATTAAATCGCTTGACGTTTGGTCCAGTCAACATCAGGATCCTGAAAAAGAGCACCCAGCCAAGAGAAATCACAGCTAGTGACACCTTCACCATCAACAATGACTTTAAATCCAAGCGTCACAAGTAAAAATAAAATATTTTTTAAACCTCATCATATGTATGCATTGCATTGCAGAGTCCGAATCCAAGCGGATGACGCAGAAAAGGAGACGCCGGCTGAACGTCAAGAAACAGACGACATCCTCCTCAAACAACGCAAAGTTGAAATTTCTGCAGCCATTGTGCGTGTGATGAAAACGCGCCGAACATTGGGACACAACCAACTATTGACTGAAGTGTATGACCAGGTCAAGCACAGATTCACTCCTGAACCTTCCAAGATCAAAACTGTCATTGGAGAACTTATCGAAAAAGAATACATTGCCAGAGCACCAGACGCAATGTAAGTTAATTTTTTATTTCTTTGGCATATTTTAACCGCTGCATTTTTTAGTGATACATACACATACATTGCTTAAAGTGAACAACATCAGTCGAAAGGAAACGCCTATCTTCATCAGCCTACATTTATATTATAAATCATCGACTCATATCATGTCTTTTCCAATGGTGTAAAATATCAGTCAATTAAAAGGTTTCACCTAGCATTAAACATATGTACAACATATTGGTAATATTGCAAATAAAATAAAATTGTTTGATATCTGTGTAAATTTTTAGTAATATTTTCACTTTTCACTGTAAGATTCGTAAGATTTTTACTCCCTCATTACCCCCAAGAACCCTGATCAGAATGACCAATCTGGATATATGTATATGATAATAAATATTATAAATTCTGTAATTTCAAAATAATTGAAAAATTATGTGCAAGTAGCAAGTGTCTACCTATAGAAGTAGATCTCGACATTTAAATATAGAAATTAGACACCCATTGCCCATAATACCTCATTTTTTTTATTATAAATATGCGTGGCAGAAAATAAGTGGGGTGTTTATGAAGTAGTAGTCGACTTCAAGTTGACTTCAAGATTTGCGAGCAACAGTTCTGCAAAGTCTCACATGAGGGCTTGCGCAGAAAAGTACGGCGCACTGCGTCTCCGTCATTACACTCCCTTTCCCTTCTGGTCCAGCTGGCTTGAAAAAAAAAATCGAGCGCAAGTCACGGGATAATGAAGTTGTGACTCCGCTCTTGTGTTATTTTATTCACTTTTTCGTCCAACGTTGAAGAAAACACGAAAGTCTATGATCTCATTCTGTTTGACGCGATGAAACATCAGCTCTCTGCCTTGATTCATTGGAACTGATTTGAGGTTTGTGTTTCGCCATCATTTTTCACCTTGAGGGTGCAAACGACAGGAGAATGGATCTGTCACTGATCGAAAGAGCACAGCCACAATGTTTTGCAATTTTAACGTTGAAGAAATCAAGATTCGAGATACGCGGGGTTTTATTTTTGCATGGGTCATTTTCTTCGCATTTTTATTGATTTTTATTAAATATCCTATACTCAGACCACATGAATGTACATATGTTATGTATTTTAAATTTTATTTAGCAGAAATTCTAATTCTGTATGCGAATTGCAAAATATATAATATACATAATGTAAATATTTTAAGTTAATTTCAATTTAGTTTTTCTTCACTGTGTTCAGTATAATTATGTAGAATGTAATTCTTCTTAATAAGTTTATCCAAAAAGTAATCAAAATTAACTTATAAAAAAATGCAGTAGCCAGAGAGGGGAAATTGGATTTTTAAATTTATTTTTGAAGAAAAATGTTCCTAAAAACTGCATTTCAATAATAAATTTAATATATTTTTTATTAATTAAAAATTAAATTGGAAATTTTTACTTCTTTGACAGCGCATTTGACAGTAGTTACTGATAATTTAACGCGCTCTTCCCAAATTGCATTTAATTTAAAATAATTATCAAAAAACATATCCTTTCTTCGGAGATAAGTATTTATTTTGCACCTTTTTTATAATTAATCGTCACATTATGATTTTCATTTTTCAGCCATCGATAACTTTATTTATATATTTTTCATCTGCGATGAGCACTTTAAGTTGCAAACTTGAATACATGGGAAAAAAAATTTTATTTTCAGAACAAAAGACTTAATTGCTTATAATAATTTTTCTCACTATAGGTTACTGACACTGACATTGCTATAATCTAAACAACAATGCCAAAGAAGGACGAGTCACAGCCCCTGCTGGTCGGTGGCCCCGCAGACAATGATCTCGCAGAGAGGTTTGTTAGAAGAGATATCACCATAAATTCAAATTTAATTTAATGCGACATTTACATTTTAGGGGCACCGCTCCACCAGCATTGCAAGGTGCAGGTTCATCGACATCACCTGTGCACCCTAACGATTGCAGTAGCATTAGTACAAGCAAGAGCGAGCAGTCGCTGATGGACTATGACCCAATGATGAACAGGGACCTTGACCACCCAACATCGTGAGTTTATTTTATTTCCTGGTGTTACATAAAGTTAATTTTTTGATAAAATTTTTATTATGAAGTAAACATTATGGTTAGTTTGCTTAAACTTGCCCCGTTTTGTAAAATACACAATATGTGACACTCGTGTAAGAATTATTAATTTTAAATTACATAAAATCATCAACTTAAACATTATTATTTTCCAGTAATTGCGACACACTGATTCATCTATTGAAGGGAAATGTTGGAACTGGAATTTTAGCGATGCCTGATGCTTTCCACAATGCCGGCCTTGTTCTTGGCACATTCGGTACTCTTGTGATGGGATTCATCTGCACCCACTGCATGCACATGCTGGTACTTTTATTTGATCACTTCCCCTTTTATCCCGATAATAAAAATAATAATACTTGACTCATGCTTCTCGTTTAGGTGAGATGTGCTCATGAGTTATGCAGGAGGGTGCAAGTTCCCTCTCTGGGCTTTTCAGAAGTTTGTGAAGCTGCGTTCAAAACGGGTCCAGTCCCCCTTCAGAAATATCACAAGTTTGTCAAGTATGATTAATTTCTGTTACTGTGACAAAAGATCGCTGATTCCTTATTGTTACTCCTCTAGGAATCTGATAAACGTCTTTTTGTGCATCACACAGCTTGGCTTTTGCTGTGTGTATTTTGTGTTTGTGTCAACCAACCTTCAAGAGGTGATCAGCCATTACCTGGTGCGCCTCGACATCAGGGTCTACTTGGTGTTGCTCCTGCTTCCTATGATCGTACTGAATTGGGTCAAGAGCTTGAAGTATCTGACGCCTGTGTCTCTATTTGCATCCATCCTCACCGTTGTTGGACTCGGAATCATATTCTTTTACATGCTGCAGGATTTGCCACCGGCTTCTTCACGACCCGCAGTTGCATCGTGGAAACAACTGCCACTGTTCTTTGGCACTGCAATTTATGCATTTGAAGGCATAGGAGTGGTAAATAATAATTTCTCTATTTGGAATTGAAAATTCATTATTACCTTAAGTTAAATACATCTGACTATATTTAAACATTTTTAATAATTTAACGATCATTTAGATTTTGCCCCTGGAGAACAACATGCAAACTCCGCAGGATTTTGGAGGCTGGACAGGTGTTTTAAACACTGGAATGGTGATTGTGGCTGCTCTTTACACTTCTGTTGGATTTTTCGGCTATCTGAAGTATGGAGAGGCAGTGGTTGTTGGCAGCATTACTCTGAATTTACCATCAAGTGACTTGTAATGTTACACATTGAAAAATTTCCCTTGGCTAATTTGCGCTTTTTAGTTTGGCACAGTCTGTGCGGTTAATGATGGCTTTGGCAATTTTCTTGTCTTACGGACTACAGTTTTACGTGCCAATGCGCATCATGTGGCCCCCACTTAAAAGACGGCTTCAGACGGAGAAAGCACAACGCATAGGAGAATATTCCATGAGAACGTTTCTTGTCCTTTTCACCTGTAATTAATTCACTTTCAATTGCTTGATAGTTGATTTATAATTTTTTACTTGCAGTTTTCCTTGCCTCGGCTGTTCCTAACTTAGGTGCCGTGATCTCGCTGGTTGGTGCTGTGAGTAGTTCCACATTGGCCCTAATCTTTCCACCCATCATTGAGCTGATAACTTTTTGGCCTACTGAACCAGGGCAGAAAATCTGTCCGTGGATGGTGACCAAAGATTTGACGATCATGATTTTTGGCATTCTGGGATTCGGCTTCGGAACTTATACTAGCATTGTCAATATCATCCATTCTTAATGGCTGCATATATTGCAGTGATTAATGGCCATAAATTAATATATTTATACATGTCTTGTTGGACAGGATCAAAAATGTTCAGGAAAACTGCCCTAAGAGAGTGTATTGTTTCAAGGCTGGAATTATATTATTTATAGATATATTTTTAAATTTATCCCCAAATGTAATGACATCGTGCTACTTATTGAGTAAATTCCAGCCCAGAATACAACACACGACTGAACCCATTGCATGCAGGATGTCTTTGAATGTTCACTATTGACAATATTTGTTGCATGATTTTATAACCTCTGATTTAACATGACTCCCTAATCTGTTTATTTTTGTATGCGCTTGTAATTTACTTTGACGAGCGAACTGTGATGCACAATTATATAATTATGAAATTTATCAAATTATACTTATCATGACCAACTCTATTGTAATTTTATTATTCAAATTAGGAAATTTTATAGATTTCAAGGGTTTTATGATGTATACATTGCAAAATTTGGTAGTCTTTTATAATTTTTATATCGCTCATATGACTTGTCTAACATCACTATATCAACAACAATTTATCAAACCCTTACATTCCACTGTTAAACGATCTTCAACATCTCATCTATCAACAATTGCACAAAACTTCACGCTTCACACACATTTTTTTTACCATGCTTCATTATGATTATTTTAAAAAATGTAGTCAAAATTGCAGAATAGAAATTGTCTGCAATATTTTGTCTCAATTTTTACTGAAACTGCGAGTTGTTATAAATATCCAAATGAAATGCATTTTATGCTAGTCCTCCATAATGCTGGACATTAAATATATTTTTGTGCAGATTATTATTTAATAATTTGCAGCCTATATATGTGTAAATTATAGTATATTTGCAGGTTCAAATAGTTGACTTTAACTGAATTAATCTGGACTAGATTATCCACTGCTTTAATGCCTATATGATCATATATTTATAATTTTCTTATCTTGTGAACTCTCAATGTTTTGTCTATTATATTATAATGAATTTGTTAAAAGATGATCCAAATTATATAGATGTTAGAAAGCAAAAAATTCCATTATATGTTACAACAAAATATATTGTGTAAAATGTAAAAGCAAAATATTGAGTGTATTATAACATTGTCACCCATCATCCGTGTGTGATATTATAATGAAAGGACTAAAATATATGTTAACGCAAGAATAAATTACTTGAATCTTATCTTCCCTCGAATCCTCAATAAATGATTCAGATCTGATTATTTAACAAGGCAAACAAAGAAATGAAAGTATTTATTGTGACGTATACCGTTTTGAATTTTTTAATACTTAAAAATGTATAAAAACATAAATATCAGATTCTCACTGTATTCGTAAAAAATAGATATATAAACGAATGCATAAATACTAATACTTCAGAATAACATTTCTAAATTTTAGTTCCTATATAACAATTGGCTGAACAAGCTTGTTTCATTATTTATAAGATTTATAACATAATGTCAAAATTATTCCTGCACAATGCCATGCTTCCATTTTAAATATCACATATTTTTATTAAGAATTCAAGGTTCATTTTTAACATTTTACAAGTGACTTCCCAAGGCACTCCCAATATTTACATTAACATAATACTTCAAATTTGAGTTAGCTCCACTAGATTTTGAAAATTAGTTGGGACTATTTCTTCCAAGAATAATTAACCTCACCAGTGTTTCAAACAAAATAAAAATTTTATCTAAAAATCGTCTTAAAACAATGATGTAAACATTAGAAAATTATTTGATATAAAATATATCAATGTCAGAGGTAGAAATTTGGGCTTGGAGTAAATGTCAGAAATTAAATAACTAATATTGTTTACATATTCACTTGTTATGTTAAACATCCACAGGTTCACTGAAGACCGCTTTAAAGTTTCTTAAGGGTAGACCAATTTCATTTTTACTTTGGCTTGTGAATGTCGGCCTGCTATTCACTTTTCGTCCATTTTGTCTTTGCTTTTCATCAACACTTTGACTGATGCCACTTCTTGCTGTTGCGTCGGAGACCAAAGGACTGACAACATGACCATTTGCAAGAGATGCTGGTGCAGTTCGATCCTCAGACTCAGATGGGACCGCATGAGAAACTGCCTTGACAGAGGGCTTTGTGAGCATGCCTAAACTTTTGATTTGGGATAAGGCAGGTCCCTTCGCAGGCTGCTGGCGTGCAGCTACGGCAAAGTCTTCTGGTCGTACTTTGCTCATATCTATGCTTGCCTGAGGCATCAAGAGTGTCTCAAATGCTTCACTCACCTATAAATGTAATAAAAGTCAGTACAAATAATATATGCTACTAATTGTAAAATTGAAAACCTGAGTGATTGAGGTTCTTGTTCTTGGATCAGTTAGGGTAGTCACACTTTTCCACGCAATGTGGACGTTTAGCGCGGAATCGTCAGTCTCTGGATTGTATGATGTTGCATCTCTAAGTGAATGACTTGAGTGGCTCATCCACAGAGGGGGCCTGTAAGAGGCGCCCTGAAAAGTTTGGGACCTCTCACCCCTCAGGTAAACAGGGTGCTTTCCTGGTACTGCTCTTAAAGCTGCAGGGTCAATAACAGGCAGTCCAGAAACATTCGGACTAGGCGGGATGTGCATCATTTTAGACGAACTGGGGTATTGCATGCCAAAGCTTGGAGGTGGGCCAACCTTTAGAGAGGGATTTATCAAAGGTCTTGCAGCAGCACCCTCTTCACTACTATCGTCGTCCTCTTGTACATTACCGTTGAAAGGCTGAAACAATAATGATAATAATTCCCTCAATATATAGGTCAATTTGTTTATTATAGCCTAAGTTTATAATAACATTTTAATAATTATGCATGAAATGAAAAGATTTAATTTAAAAAAAAAAAATGCGTACCACAATATGAGTGACTGTTTCTGCAAAGGTTACTTTTGGGTTTTTTGCAACTGTCAACTCTAAGTGCTTGACTTCTGTTTCAGTGTGCTCTTCACTGTCGCATTGTGAGCAAGATGATCTTGAACAATGTGACGATGCTGCAGAAAAAAATCAAAGTTTGAACCAATCCATTAATAAATTTACTTACTCGAAGAAGAATCGTCATTGCTCTCTGCCTTAAGCTGGTCAGCATAATCAACAGCAGCTCTAACTAAATCAAGATTATTGGATGCATTAGCTCGATTCTCAATTGCCAAGAACAAATCTCTGTCTCCGATGTCTATCGCCAAACGAAATGCAAGATCAAAACGCTCAAATCTAATGAAAAAATTTGCTGAGTATTTTCAAGAAGTATTTAAATTTATAAAATTTACCTTAATATATGAAAGAAGAACCGTCTAGCTAAACTGTGAATTACATGGCCATATTTCTTTTCCGATGATTTGTTGAGAGGAACAGTAGGAGACATAAAAACTCCTAGGGCTGCCTCCAATTGTACTACAATGTTTAATTTAGTTACATTAAAAAAGCCTGTAAAATATCAAATACCTTCTATGCGAGGTGTCAGTCTTTTAGAAAGCAAGTAATTGATGATTTGGTGCAACGAAGAGATGCATGACGTGCCCTGGTTGTCCCAACTGAGACAGCGAAGCAAGTTGATGGCACATTCAACCAAGTTTGACTTCAAATACATGCAAACTAGTCTCTCTGGCGTTAAGCTGGAATCGCCAGTACCAAGCCCACAGCCGATGATAACTCTGAGAGCAACGCATGGGCCCCTACAATTAAGATGTGAAAATTAATGTAGTAACAATGGATACCAAAACTACCGTGAAAACATCATAAACACTAAACCATCAGATGTTGATGCATACTGGTGATCTACATCCCATTTTTTATTCCAACACATACTAGACAAATGAGGTTGCCCTCTGAAAATTTAGAGACATAAATCAGTAACTTATTCTACAAAATGTGCTGTTATCAATACTTAAAGTAGGGAGAAAGGTCCAAGAAATTGCAGCTTTGAGGGGTTTCGCTTGTGATTTGAAAATTTACAGGAGTGAGTGCGAGATCATAGCACCGTGTCTGCCCTTTTTCGTTGGCAGCAAGTAAAAGAGTTCCGTCAGGATGCCAAGAAAGGTGATATGGAATCTGGAAGCCTTAAAGATATAGACATCCTATCATATTAGATAAAACGTTCTTACAAATAGTGACTTGACAAGAATAGATGCACTACTAGAATGGAGAAGCACGGAGCCGTCGATACATCCTAGGGCTAAAACATTTTCTGATGGGCTTTGAGCCACACTACAAACTTCTGTTTTGAGCTGAATGACATCCACAGGACTTGCTCTTGATATGCTGGACTTCCCTGTTTCAAAATAGCTACTCTCCACATTCACATCTCCCTGTGTAAAATTTAAAAGTAAATTCAATAAATGAATTGTAAACTATGTTCTTACATTTAAAGCAACTTTTTGTTCCACGACGAAAATTCGATTTGGGTGCAATTTGCTGAAATTAATGAGCAAAGGGTCTGCTTCCGTTTTGTAAAAGCATTGCAGTTCCAGTCTTGACCTGGAAAAAGATTACAATTATTATTTGATCAACATAAAAAATATCCTAGTTTTACTCTGATATTTTGTAGATAAGCAAATTTGCACGGTCGCAGTCCTTGGTCATTGGGCTCCACGGGTAGAGTTCATTTTGTGAGTAACGCCACCAGACCAAGACCAAATTGTGCTCAGGGTTGAGGGATAGTTTCCTTTCCAGCCGTCTGCCACTGGGACCACCAAGTTCAAATGTACTGTAGTGAGGATCCTGTCGACTCAGTTTTTCTAAATGCTTTGAAGGTTTGTGTAAACTTATCAATGAGATAACGTTGCTGCTGTATGTGACTGTTAAATTATCTTTCGAGCTGGCCACTGCAACATATAATTTAATTTAGGAATATATTTTCACCAAAAATTAATATTTTACCATCAGTAATGCATTCTGCAGCCAGTTTACCCAAAAGATATCTATCAAACGTAATTTTTTCGATTTCTCCTTTCAGAGGATGCACCCTGATGTAGGCAAATATGCCTGACGAAAACAAAATTTGTAAAACCGAGTGGCTCTGCCACCAGCTTTTCACAACTCTTTGCTGGGCAATCAATTCCTAGAAACAATATGACAAATTAATTCAACTTATTAAAACTTTTTAATTATTGGTGTAAACCTCTAGTTCCTTCAAGCTGTCCCTCTTTACAGGGCTGGTACTTTTCTGGCCCGAGTTGTCCCGCAAAAAGACTCTTGATGCGGTGTAGGACTTTTTGGCTTCATACCGAAGGGAGCCTTTTTTGTCATGACACCTGAATGGAGAATGTGAAAGATAAAAATTTATTATAAAATAGGAAACATATTAATTCACAATTATTGTGAGGAAAGAGTTTAATTTTGTTTTTAAATGTCATTAAGTATAAATTGTATTGCATTGTTATTATAAAATGCATGCAATGTAATTAAGTCACTAACATTTTATTTTTTTTACCATTAATACCTTTTCTAAAAAAAAGTAAAATAAACAAAACACGCTGATCAAATAAATTGTCGAAAAAATAAAAATTGAATTTTTTACATAAATGTACCTGAAAGCCCCATAATCAGTGTCTGGAATGACAACAGAGTCATCCCTCGTTGTCCAAAAGTGCGCCTCGCCCAGAAGCATTATAATCTTCTGAGATTAAAATTCTTGGAATGCGTCCAACCAAAAGGCTACGCCGTCAGGGTCATGCAATCAGCCAATTTCAACGCAGTCGGCTACATAATAACGATAGCCAAACAGCATCTTTTTTCCAAATGCAACACAAACATGCAAAACAAACAAGAGTTCACGACGTGCGGCACATGGTAATGGAAATTTGCATTTCTTCTGAGCACCGCCGCTACAGGTGTCCGACCTCTTGCCTTGCGTCACTTCTTGGTGATCAATCAACAAATCCACGCACACCGATCGAGAATCCAGTTATTTTTGCAGCTTTTGAAATTGCTCGCCAGGTGGCTTGAAATCGCTTAAAAGAGGCGAGTCCTTAATTAAAATCAGACTTGTAACCCTTCGAAGAAATGTACAATCATATTGATTTAATTTATTATTTCGTATAAAAGACAAAAAATTTGTAACTTAAATTTTATTATTATCAACTTCTGATAAGAGAAATATTCTGGATGTTACAAAAGTCAATTTTCAATCATTCAAAATTTTTTACAATAAAATCCATCAAGTTGGTAATCAAGTTGGCTGACTGTGGCTGTTTGCAGAAAATGCAAAAAAATAAACAAAATAAATCATAAATCAGAGAACCGACAAAGGTGGATAAAGGCAACGCAAAAGAAACAAAAACATCCTGACATTTGAGTTCTTTTCAGCCCACGCAGGTTTTCGACGCGCTGCTCAGCTCAGGTGGTGAATTCAACTAGAATTAGATCAGTATCCTATCCTGAAATCAGTGAAATCCCAGCTTGAGCTGCACATTTTCTGAAGCTCTTGCAACTCAGCCGGCCAGGTTGTATTTTGATCTTGGAAAACGCATTTCGACCAACAAACTCGCAATGCTAGGCGTAAGAAAAATTCCTATGCTTGAAAATTTTCAAGTGTATTAATATTAATTTTCTTGGTTTCGTAGCCGCCTGTTGAACCGATGCAGGTTGACATTCAGCCTGAAAATAACGAAAACACTGAAGATGAGACGGAACCATTCATCGTGGAAAACCCGACTCTGGTTAGTTAAAATTTTGTCATTTTGTCTCACTGAACAAAAAAGGTACAACGTTTTGCTAATATATTTTTTGACAGGATCTTGAGTCGTACGCAGCCAATTATTCAGGACTTGCCAAGCTCCACAGGCTGATTTTCATTGCCGACCACTGTCCTTCGCTGAAAGTCGAGGCCTTGAAAATGGCCATCTCTCACGTGAACACAACATACAACGTGAGCTTGTACCAAGCTTTGCATCGAAAGCTCATGGTTGCTCTGGGGTATTATTAAATCTTCAACCTGTAGACTTTGTTTAATCTAATTTCTTGCAGAGGAGCTGCTCGCCTCCCTGACGTAGCAGGTGGTGGTAGCAGCAAAGATTTTCCACCCATTGATAATCAATGGATTGAAGTTAGGTCAAAAAAAGCTGCGTTGAAGGTAAACCAACTAAAATCCAACAATAAATTCATATTGTGTTGTTTAATTAGTTGGAGAAACTGGATACTGATCTCAAGAACTACAAGAGCAATTCCATTAAGGAGAGCATCAGACGTGGACACGATGATCTTGGCGATCACTACCTAGATTGTGGAGACCTAAGCAATGCGCTGAAGTGCTATTCCAAGGCCCGTGATTACTGCACAAGTGGAAAGCACGTTGTCCAAATGTGCTTGAACGTCATCAAGGTTTGCCTCCTAATGATTTTAATTATTCAATTTTAAAAAAATGGTGTGGAAACTTGTCGGACGTGAGACTCATCAAGACTGGTTGAGACCCACTGATACCAATGGTCTCAACTGGTCTCGATGGTTCTCACGTCCGACAAGGAATGTTCAATATATTTTATTTTTTCATCAATAAAATGCCAACAGGTTAGCATTTACCTGCAGAACTGGGCCCATGTTGTAAGCTATGTGAGCAAGGCAGAGACAACCCCTGACTTCTCAGAGGTATGTTTGATTTTTCAAAATATGAATTTGGTAAATTCGGTTTTAAAGGGCAAGGAAAGCAACCAGACTGTGCTGACAAAGTTGAGATGTTCATCTGGTTTAGCTGAGCTGGCAGGCAGGAAGTACAAGTCTGCAGCCAGACATTTTCTCCAGGCCAACTTCGATCATTGTGATTTTCCTGAAATTTTGTCCCCAAGCAATGTTGCTGTTTATGGTGGCCTCTGCGCCCTGGCAACCTTTGACAGGCAGGAACTACAGAAGAATGTCATCTTCAGCAGGCAAGAATTTCAAAACTTGATCTTTGCTGAGATTTTTTGTTATAATTGTGTTCATTTCAGTTCTTTTAAACTCTTTCTTGAGTTGGAGCCTCAGTTACGAGATATCATTTTCAAATTCTATCAATCTAAATATGCTTCTTGTCTCCAACTGCTGGATGAAATCAAGGTAGAAATTTGTTATTTCTAATGTGCAAATAAAACCATTCATATCGAATTTCAGGATAACTTGTTGCTGGACATGTACATTGCTCCACACGTCAATACTCTGTACAGCCAGATCAGGAACAGAGCTCTGATTCAGTACTTCAGCCCCTATATGTCGGCCGACATGAGAAGGATGGCCGAGGCTTTCAACACGACTGTTCCGGCTCTGGAAGACGAGCTGATGCAGCTGATTCTCGATGGTCAGATCCAAGCTCGAATTGACTCCCACAATAAGGTTGGTTGTTTATTTTGAGATTGGATAAATAAATAAATATGAAATCCATAAGGTGCTGTTCGCCAAAGATGTGGATCAACGTTGCACTACGTTTGAGCGGTCGTTGACTATTGGCCAAGAGTACCAGAGGAGGACCCGGATGCTCATTCTGCGCTCTGTCATGTTGCGACACAACATTCACGTCAAGGTGCGCAGCAAATCGGGAGCCACTGTTGGTAGGCCAGGCCTGGATATTGCTTAGCTTAGTGTTTTTGTTGGCATGTGGCCCCACAAATAAGGTATGAGACTAAGAATAATAACAAATTCACACTTTAACCTCAACTTCACAAGAAGAAATTTTCACGCTTTTAATTTTTTTTTTTTTGGTTACTCCTTTGCTTTTGTGTTGCTTAATTTCTGATAACTTATCTCAGTCGCGCGTGGAATTTGCTTATGTTTGCAATGCATATAACTGCGGTTTGCAACGATCTTTATGTTGCTTTTGCTTACAACTTGAAATTTTCTTTATTCCTAATATTTTGGGGCTTTTTAGAGCCCACAGAGGGATTTGAACCAGGGGAATGAGATGCTCTCCACCTCAGGAAATATGGTCAACATACGGCCGCCTGTTCACCAAAACTTTTCAGATAAGCTTTAAAGGATTTCCCGGAATTTTCCATGTCAACGTGTAATGAAGTGTATGTCAGAAAAATGATATAATAATAAAAGACATCACTAGATCTTGAATGAAATTTATCTTTATTTATAAACATTAAGACATAATTTGGCTAAATTCTTTATATACAGAAATTTACTCCAGCATAAATAGTGCAAAATGATGTTAAATAATTTAAAAAAAAAACTGTTTTATTATAAAAATTACAATTACTAGGCCTTTACCGCAAATTTGTGGACTATATAAAGAACCGCAAATAGCACGTTTTCTTCTTCTTAATTAATAAATAAATTTAAGCGTATTTTCTTAGTTAGACCTATAGATTATAAAAATATTTAAATTACCCAGACAACAATAATTGCAATAAGTAGCAAAATAATGATGACCCAGTATCCTAAATAAAAAAGGATGAGAAAAATTTGTACCACTTCTGTGTAACTTACCACAGGTAGCATCTTTCCTGTCGATTATCGCAACATGACGAGTTTCTGTCACTAAATTGGTATCTGTGCTGTCGATTCTCACAGCCAGGTCATCCAAAATTTCTGAAAAATAGTATATTAATTTTGATCATAATTCTTAACACATATATTTTAAAAATTCACCGTTCTGGGTTTCAACCTCGCCTCCTATAGTTTCAGCTATTTGCTTTTGACGAGATACAATTTTTGACAAAGCCTCCAGTCCTTTATCTTGTTCTGGTAAGGATATATAAAAAGTGAAGAAATTTTGATAGTCTATATTTTAGTTTTACCTTCTTCCAAGGTCTTCATCTGACCCTTTATCTCTATGGCCCCGGAAGCTTCACCAAAAGGTCTTTGAATAGAGGAACTTTGTTCTGCATATTCAGGAATTCTTGGATGGTTCACTCTGAGAAAAATAATTAAAAAAAAATTAATACATATTAAAGAAAATAAAGTAAGATTAATAAATACCTGTCTTCAAATTGATTTTGGAGTCTAACTAGTCGACTTTTCAAAGTCTCGACCTCTCGCATTCTCCTCTCCCTCTCTTCTCCAGTACTTCAATTGTAAAATAATTCATTAAATCTATTTATGTAAACGGGGCTCTCAAATTAGTACATAAGCCTAGGCAATGGACCATTTTCCAGCTGCTGAATCTGCACAGAAAATTGCTTCAGCCGGACTCGGATGTTGGTCGACAGTCTTGCATAGTTATCTGTTGTCCTATTCGGCTCTCTGCTTCTGGTAGACAAAAACTCCGTAATCTCATATGAAAGATTTTCGCATCCCCGGAGCTCTGATTGCCTGAAATATTTATGTTTTGAATCATAAAAAAATTAATTATGGCTTGGCGACTATATTTAAAGTTAGAGTTTATTCTCGTTATACGCACAAAATTTGGAATCAAAAATTAATTTTCATATATCTACATGAAAAAAAAAACAGAAAAAAATATTGGTTAATTTTGTGTTTTTACAAATCCAGTGTTCAATGTTTTTTAATTTTCCTTACCAAGGATCTGAATCAACGTCAATAAGTGCCATTGCACATAAAAGTACTTATAAAAATCAAGCAATTATTTCCACTTGATGAAAAATATTTGCGAACCAAGAGAAATTATATTTTGCTCTGACACAAAAATATTTATATAATTTTCACTCTCTTCATTCGCCTCTTGTTTCATGTGACTTTTCGGTAGTGGGGAGATGGATCAGATGGATGAGCCACCTTGCGGATTCCGCCGACTCGAATTTATGCACAATGTCTCAATTTCCCCTCCAAGAAGTGATTGTTCGCTTACCCCCTTCTTGGATTACGAAGGACGACATTGGTCAGAACTCCCCTCTCTGGCTTTTGGTCACGTAAAAATATTCTCACGTTCTCCGTCGTAAACAACAAACCCCAAAGAGAGGCGTGTCTGTTCTGTTTTCCTTTTATGTGGTCATTTAGGCCAGATTAGGAGTGTTCACGCAAAAGATTCTGTCATATTATTAGTTGCCGACTTTGTCCATTTTCTAATCCAATAGTTTTTCTTCTGTCTGCTGCGTAAGAAACTGCCTGAAAATTTGAAAGTTGATTCATTTCGTTATAAAAGTCTGAGATAAAATCTCATATAATAAAAATGTATGCATGTATTAATGGGAGCATTGCGTGAAGTTTTTGTTAAAAATTTTACCAACACCCTCATTGATTTTTTTAACTGTATTCGGCTTGATATTTATGTGTTGGATTTTAATTTCCAGAGGCAATGATAAAATTTTCTGGCCTGGAAAATGGCAGCTTCGAAGCAAAATGTCTCGGAATTGATTCAGTCGGCTTTTCCACCTATGATCGCTGCCCTTGTTACTCCCTTGGCAGAAGATGCTTGCAGGAAAAACAACCTGAATTTTGTGGAGATGCTGCAGCCGTTTTGTTCACTACCAAATGATGGTTTGCAACATTTATTTTTTTCTTAATTTATAAAATGAAGACCATTATTTATTTGCAGCCCACATTCGTGATCCGTCGGGGTTGGTCCTATCCATCAGACCTGGCTTGAGAGTAAGCCTTCAATATGCCACCTGGGAACCTCCAGCGCCTCCTCAGGCACGCAAGTGGCTCAATGAAGCAGCTAGTCTACCTGCAAATCCATCAGATTCACTCGCCGTCGAAGTTGGTATGATAATGCCCATTTATTTTTACTCAAAATCAGCATGTTTAATGTTTTACTGAAGGTGGACGTCAAGTGGAGATGCCGTCAAAAACTCCATGGTTTGAGGCGTGGCGGAACGTTTTCCTACAAGTCCAGTATCCTTCGGACCACGAATTTTTAAAGCACTATTTGGCCTGTGTGATTGTGGTCAGCTCCGAGGACCCTGATCCAGTGGCCTCTGTTCAATCTCTTTGGTCGGCTTGCTGTGCTAATGTAGGGAGCAATCCCAACCAGTTGCCAAAATGGTTCTTCAGCCCTGCTCTTCAATATCACGTTCTTTTGCACGATGCTTCGTCTCCAAATGCTGACACTTCAAGGTCATCATCTTATCTTTTTTTAATGATTTGTTAAAATTTAAAGTTGCTGGGATTAAATTATACATATTTTGAGGGGAAAAATGATGCATTTGGCAAAATTTTTATTCTGTTTAATTTTGTTCAGAGCTGAGCAGCAGTTTGCTAGACTGAAAGCTCAGTTTGGAGAGTCGTATTGCACATTACTGCCAATTAACACGGAGTCCAACTTATCAGAGGGTGCCAGCCCCCCTGCGGATCCCTGGGTACAATATTTGATGGCATCTGCGAGTCGTCCTCAAGTAATGCAAAAGCAAAACAATACAAAAAGAAATAAGCCATCAATTATTCACAATTTTGCAGCCTGCTGGTGCACTAAATAGTCCTGGGGCAAAAACACCAAACGCTTTAGAAGAAGCACAAGAAGTAAGGGAAGAAACCATTCCCCATCCGCTGAGCCCAGATGCACCTGGAGTAATTTTCTACTTAATTAACTGATGCTAGAAGTTTAAATCTCCTTTTTAATTTAGTCTCCAGGATTTGCCCCAATAATAAGGGATATTTCATCTTTGACTGGACAGGAAGTTGTCCCTGGTTGCAGAGGAAAGTATCTGAGTGCTGAGGACAGAGAGAAACTTCGGCAGCTCATCCCTGAATTTGCAGTCAAAGTTCTTCTACCATATGCTGAAAAGCAAATTCACACTTTGACCGAATTGGTAATAGCCCGCAAGGGACTCAGTCGGTCCCTTTTCTCAGCAACAAAACGATGGTTTGGCTCAAGTAGCAAGCCAGGGTCAACGGCCTCGTCACCTCAGTCAAGTCCAGCTTCCCAAGGGTATGTTTTTCCAAATTTTAGTTTCATATAAAATTCATATGTTTATTTACTAGCTACTCTGCCGACTCAGCAGAACGTGGTTTGCGGAGACTCGGCGACTTGAGTTTTCTCCTTGGACTGCCGCAACTCTCATTTCCAGCATATCATGCATTGAAACGAGACCTGGCTGCAGACCAGGCTTGGCTCATGCTAGCAGGTGCTCTTGAAATGGCCGCACTGAGCGCCTTTCTTTTGACTGAACAACCCCCGACTTCCCCCAAAAGAGCCCAGGAGTACATGGAAGAAGCAATTAACACTTATCTGAATTTATGCAAGTGAGGCACATACTTGATTTTAATTTAATCATATCATATTATATTTTGTTTTTCAAAGACTACCACAATTTGCAACAAGAGCGGCTTTATTGAGCTCAGAAATTCTCAAATCCAGAGGACTCATGGGCGAAGCAGCTCAGCAGCTTATTCGGCTGACGAGTGAAGATTCTGATCTGAGAAGTGCACTTCTTTTGGAACAAGTAAACAGTCCAATGACCTTTGTTCTTTGCTAAATTTTACATTTTTGTGATAGGCTGCATACTGCTTTCTTGGCACTCATAAAGTTCAAAAGCTTGGAAGGAAATACGGATTTCATATGGTGCTAGCAGGGCATAGATTCAATAAGGCAGGACTTCGTCCACATGCCCTCCGCTGCTACCTGCAAGCTTTGCAGGTGGGGTTACATAGACAATCCAACATTGTTTTTAATAATGGAGTGATTTTTTTAAGATTTTTGAAGGAAAGCACTGGGGCTTAGCAGAAGATCACATTTTGTTCACCGTAGGAAGGCAGTCGGCTTTTTTGAGAAAACTCCCAGAGGCTAGAGATTCGTTTGCAAAACTTCTTTGTTCCGGTAGTCAACAGGCCTCGTCCCAGCAGTCGGTTTTCTTAAGAGAATATCTTCAAACCCTGCAGGTAAAATTTTTAAGGCAATTTTTAGTCATTAATAATTACAAACTATTCACATATTCCATAGGGCATACTTGAAGGTGGTTCAGAGAATGGAATACCTATCATGCCAATTCCGTACGTAGACTGCAAAAATATACAAACACTGTTGGGTATTCCTTCAGAAGTTCAGTCTCAAGGTGACGTTGTTTACGTATCTGGCACCTCTTTTGAAACAAAACTCGACGGGGAAGAGAAGGCTGTGTAAGATATTCATCAAAGATTACACAGATTTTATTTTAATAAAACAAATTTTGATTGTTCCAGGTGGGATAAGTTGGAGGAACAGCTTTTGACTGAGGCTCACGGGCAGACTCCCATGGTTTTCAAACCGTTGCTCCAACTTTTCACTCCAAAGACAAATAATTCAAGCAAGCCTAATGCAGTAATAAATGGTTCGTTTTGTTGTAATTTTCAATTACCCCAAAAACTTAACATTACGCATTTTTTATAGAACAATTGACTGTCCAGCTGACTGTAAAAAATCCCCTGCAAATTCCTCTTGTTTTTACAAGTATTCGCCTTCTCTGGAACTTCACTCCTGAAGGCTCAGATTCTGTGATTACAAATGAAAATGGCGCTGGACAGGATGCCATCGACACGCAGCTCATGCACCTGTTGACCCTGGCTGCAGGTGCCAGCCAGAAAATTGCGCTCGGGTTGATTCCGAGGCAGACGGGGGAGGTGAACATAATTGCGGTAGCCTTCGAGTTATGTGGGCCAGCGCCTGTCAGCGCTGACCAACAGCCTATAGCTGTAACTGGTATGCCCTATTTTTTTTATTAGTTTTAATGAAATAATAACTTTCTTATTTCAATAAACTCATTCAGGCAAATTACCTTTGAGTGTGCGAGGCCCTCGATTGAAAGGCAAAGAAGATGGTTTTGCTCCGGACTACAGACTTACTGTTGTGATCAAACCACCCCTGCCTTTGCTCCAGGTAATTATATTTAAGAATCTGATGATCGATTCCAATACGATAAAAAAAAAACAGGCAAGATTGGAGGGTCTAGGAAACAAAATGATGTGTGGTGAGACAAGGAGAATAGGTGCTCTGCTGCGAAACGCTGGTCCACTGCCTTTGAAAAATTTATTTGTAAGCATTTCTCCATCAGACGTTGATTGCTTAGCTTTGCCTGTCGGCAGTAAGCCTCCGCAGTCACCTCTGAGCAACCTTGGTCCTCCACAACAAGGTTACAGGTATTAAGCCATTTTGTTAAGTAGACCAGATGATCAATACAATCATATTATCAGAGTTGGTTCCCTGACGGTATCAGCCGAGTCCAAAGTCTTAAAAATCCCTTTGCCGGGAGAAGTGTTGGGATCAAATCAAGAGGCCAGTATTGACCTGTGGATCAAAGCGCCGATGAAACAAGGCTCTCTCAAGCTTCATCTCATGATGTTTTATGAAGGAGTTGAAGACAAAAGGTTTGTGTATGAAAAAAATTAAAATTGTAAATTTTAACATTTTTTTTAAATAGGTATAGAACACTGCAACACTCGTGGAGAGTGGCGCTAAGCAATCCCGTCTCAATTACTGCTCAGGTTATCAGAAGTTCATGTCCAAGTATCAATGGAAAGCAAGCTACAACAGAATCCTTAAATTTAGCTCTTCAAATTTTACACGTACCAAATTCTGTGAGTATTTTTGCATTTTTCACGGAACTTTTTCACTGACATGTTTTATCTTTAGGAGCCACAGAATGAAAGTGATGAGACAAAGGACTCTCTCTCAATTCAACAAATTGCAATAGTTAGCAAACATTGGCATTTAGCGCAGTTGGTCATATCACCTAAAGGTACTTACTGAAATTTTTTAGTTTCAGAAATTTGTTTATTGGGTTCAAAACTGAGGGCAACTATGCCCCATACATGAACTCATCCATAATAATGACTAAATAAAAAAATTTTTTATTGTTCATCTAACACAAATTTGATTTCAGATTGCAAGCTGAAGCCAAAAGAGGCATGTCATTTGCTCTTTAAGATTCTGCGCTCTATGGATAAATGTAATTTTTTCATTACACTTCAATGATATTTTTCGGTTTTTCATTAACTTTGAAAACCCTGCAAAACATAAGCAGTTTTTTAAATGATTGATCAAATTTCTAGGTGCTGCAGATAAGTATATTTATTCCCACTCAGGTGTTGGATCTAGTCTTAACAGCCAGCTTACATCGTGGCCTATGCTGAACTTCTTAATTAAAGAATTTTTATCTACAAAGACAAATAATGCCAATTCCATATTAGACATCACCCTGCTATTAAAATGGAGGGTCAGTTAATCAATATTTCCCAAAATAAAATAAAGCAATTGTATTTGACCTCAGGTATTCACTGGTAAAGAGATTCACGAAGGTCAGCATCAGCTCTCTCTTGTTAATTTGGGAACAACAAGAATGGCACCACAGCTAGAAGATGTTCCACTCCCTGGTAATTTTCTAGATTAGTTGCCAATTATTAAGTAACTTTTCAATAAAATATTTCTCTCAGCTTTAAGGCCACCCCCTGAAATATCACCTGAACTTGCAACTGCGCAAAGTTTGGTTACTTACAGTTTACAACATGCAACTTTTATGATGCATGACTTTAAAGAAGAAAGGTACGATTTTAAGAATCAATAAGAGTTGCTTTTTATTATGCTGTTGTTGCAGTTTTTGCATTGTGCCTGTGAAAGTTCATCTGCAGAATTGCTCAGACTCAAGTTTGCGTGTGATAGTAAGCGCTAATGAGACCCCTAGGTAAATATATAAAAAAAAAATTGTTAACTTGTGTTAATAATTCAAACGTTTAAAAAGTGGAGGCATCTTGAGAAGTACGCAGTTGTATTCTCCTCTGGCAAGCGCAGTGATGTGTTTCATTGGTCCATCCCGAAAAGTCATTACTTTAGCCCCGAGAGCTTCGGACAGTGTTTGCCTGAAGGCTGGTATACCAAGACCAGGCACCTATGATGTTTCGAGACGGCTTGCGGTGATATGCGGAGAACTTGGTAAAAAGGAAACCTCATTGCAGACGTGGAAGTGCCCATCTCCACTTATTGTCAGTCAAAAATCTTGAAACATTCCCTTGTGTCATTAACAACGTTCAATTGTTAGAAAAAAATGATTTTTTTTTCAACAGAATCCCTCTGCCTCATTAAGTGTATTTCACTGTAGAGTGGCAAAATTAATTTTGACTCTAAATTTGGTTATTAATTTTCAAATTATGCCAATCAAGATGAAGATTTCTATAGAAAAAAATTAGCTAAATAAGGACTATAGGGATAATATTTATTGACAGCCAGATTGGTGGTTTTCTTACTTTATTTTGCCGTTTAAAAATTAATACAGACGTGTGCCACGATTCAGCCAGACGTTTGCATCATGTTGCAATATTATTTATTAATAGAAAAACTGCTCTTACGTTCCAAAAATTCAATTTTCTTACACTACATCATGAGAACAATAATTAACCCCCTAATGTGAATTATTACAAGTACAACCTCTGTTTAAGGTCAATTTCTTTATCAGTTTTGACATAAAATATAATTGAAGTGGTATATGGTATGATCAAAAGAAAAAAAATGACCAAACACTGTTTGCATGGCATATAAATTTTGAGTTAGAAACCAATGGTGGAATTTACACCAAACTGAAAAAAAAAATTTTAGCGTCCAATTTGCACTGGCAAAAGATAAAAGATCTCATTAGCTTATATGTGCAAAATTTTTTGTCTTTCATAAACCCAAAGAAAATCTAAAAGCCATATGGTTCCAATGTTCATTCATTGTACTGCGCCTCCTTATCTATCCACTAAATTCAGAATTAACAGCTTCATTTTTAAGCATACTTGATTGGTGTCTGATAATTTGCTCTGAATGAAAGTTAATTGCAGAGTTCATCTAGACAGAAATTTTTCAAACAGACACCTCAGCTGATCAAAGCTCATCTGAGCAAAATGCAAAATTAATACAAGGTATCGCATCTTCAATGGTTGTTAAATTTAATTATTGGACTTTTTCATTTTGAGTCTGCTTTAAATTTAATTTACCCCCAATCGTTAAGTATTTTTTGTGTTACTTGGCCAATTTGAAAGAAACACCCTCCTTTTATAGTAATAACAATAGTCAACAAAATCGATCGTACAATCACAAATATCTTGAAAATAATTTTTATATTGATAATGCATGAATTATTTAAGTGACAAAAGACTTGACAGTAACTGGTCAATATGCAATTTTATCGTTCACACTTGTTTTCTAGACACAAATTCATACACAGGGCATCATCCAAGAAGTGGGAAAGAAGAGGAATGTCTCGCGACACAATCACCGACTGCCTTTATCAAGATGTAAATTCATAACTTGCAAAAAATCTTAGCTACCAGACACCGCCTCAGGGTGGGGATTAAGTCAAATTTGGGTGCCGGTTTGTTCAAGAGCAGTAATTTATTATTTCAAAATTCCCAAATCGAATAGCAAAAAATCTATTGCACTAAACAAAGATAACCGCGCTGTGCGAATCCAAAAATAAATAATACGTATTCTTATAAGCAATAAAAATGAATCAAATGGATACAACTAATGCAACTGAAGATGAGAATTAGACGAAATGCTGACAGGAAAGAAGGTGCGTGTGAGCTCAGGCTGCTCAGTCGTCGATAAGTATCAGATTCTTGTCGCCACCGCCGCTTGTTCGAGTCCTGCTGTCATCAGAGCGACCAGAGGTCCCTGCGAATCATTTATTTTTGCCTGCATGAATGGTAAATCAAGCTGCTCATGTTGTGTTTGGCTTATTAGTTGCTCAGACATAAAAAACGAGTTCATAATACGAACTCAAGATAAAATAAAAAGCATCATCACTGCAACTGGACAAACAATAATAATAACAATCAAGCATAACCTGATTTCGATTTTTCCTCTTACCAGCTTTGAGGATAATTAAAGTGGTAATAATCTGCAAGATTTATTGTTCCCATTAAACTTTTCTAAATTCACACAAAAAGCATGCAATAAAATTCAACATAAATGTAGAAAAACAAACAAAAACGGATATTTCACATAAGCTGGATGCTTAAAGAACTCTAGGTGTTTCAATTTTTTTTTTCTATTAATTCAAAAAAGAATGGTATAAATTTTGACACCTATTTTTCTCTTTTGGAATGGAATTCAACTTTAGACACACTAGACCCAAACTCAAGCTTTGCAAATGGTCAGCATTACTCACCAGAGTAGTTTCCAGAAGAGGACTGAGGCTGTCCAGGAACAGAGTACTGGGGCCTGAAGTTGGCAAAGTTAGCGGCGCTGAAGGAGCCGGGCAGTTGCCCAGTGGGGAACCCTGGTGGGAACTGGCCAAGGAGGCCAGCAGCCTGGGCAGCCGCAACAGCTGCGGCAGCAGCGCTTGACTGAGAGCTGCTGCCTCCACTTCCACTAGGCACGCCTCCAGGCGAGGCTAGTCTGGAGAGGATGGAGCGCTCAGACATTTGTAGGCGTTGAGCCACGGGAGGGATGCGGGCCAAGGTAGCAGGCAAACGACTCACGTCAGACTTCATGTCAGAGAGAAGTTCCTCCAACTGGTTGAGCACCTGGAAAACAATCGAGGGATTTTTTGAGCAATGAGGATGAAAATTGTAGAAGTTTTGAATGTTATTTAAAAATCAGCTCAGAAAATACCATGTTTTCGTCAATTCTGCGTTCAACTTGAAATTAAGTCTCAAGATTAGCAGAACAATCTTAAAACCAATCCAATTGAGACATGATAAGAAATTGGAACAAAACATCATAGCACTGTCTGCTGATATTTAACAACATTTTTTTTCTAGCATTTGTAAAACTGATTTTCTTTACCTTATGGAGGACAGCATTAGCTGGTTTGTTTCCAGCCAACGACTCCTTTGAGAGATGCTGATGGGATTCAGCCAAGCACTCAACCTCCGCGAATCTAGCATTGAGGCTCATTGCTGGATGATTAGGATCCTGAGTGAGATTCAGGTAGGCAGCACGCCTCAGCTGCTCCTCAATCACCAATGCTTGCTCCAAGAGCTGAAAGTGGTTTAATTTTTTAGATTTGGTTTATTTAAAACTTGTTTAATATTTACCTTGAATCTGCGCGCAAGGAATTTATTCTTGATTTCCAGAAAGTTGCCCTTTCCAACATCCATCTTGAAGGGCTCGTTGATGATTGCAAAACGGATATCATTCTGGATGTCTTGCCATCTGCCGTACCCGTGAGTAACAATTCCAGCAAGCAGCCAATAGTCATGTCTATGTTGAGAGTTGAGATAATTCATTCAAATTATAAAATTGAAATATTTACCTGCGGTGCCAGATTTCGTACTCTCTACCAGGTACTGCAGCCTTCTCTTCATTCTGCCAAAGAGTGTGGAGTTCGGTGAAACCACCATCAGCAATGTTGAACATAAAGCGGCGCTTGGTCTTATCCTCATCCGTTTTAGATTCCTCTTCTGTTTTATCGTCCTTCTTATCTTCCTCCTTGATATCATCTTTCTTGGTTTCCTAAAAAAAAAAGAGACCCATCATGTAAGAAAAATTGCTCCTCAGGTACATACAATTTTCTGGCTAAGATATGCTCAGATAGAGAGTTCAAGAGTAAAAATTATCATTTCTACATTAAATATTCAGAGGGATAAATCATCATTGCAAAAAAAAAAAAAAACATTTAACTTTTTAAATTTTTTTTACCTCTTTTTTGGTCTCGTCCTTCTCATCAGTTTTTCCGTCAACTTTGTCGGCTTCCTCAGGTTTCTTCTCCTTTTCCTCCTCTTCCTTACTGGGTTCTTTCTTTTCTTCTTCTGGTTTTTCCTCAACCTTCTCTTCCTCCGATTTGTCCTTCTTAGGAGATGTGTCTACTTCCATTGCCTCTTCTTTCTTTTCAGGCGACTCCTTAGGTGCCTCCTCCGAGACAGCCTCGTCCTTTTCAGTCTTTTCCTTTTCTACCTCCTTTGCAGCAGCAGCCTCCCCCTCTTTGGCAGCTGCTGGTGCGTCCTTATTCTCCTCATCTTTCATTGGCAAGGGACTGGCAGCAGCACTTGTAGCTGGTGTAGCACTGTTGCTGGTTGCAGTGCTTGGCACCTCTGGATTCTCGGTCTTCGTCTGCCTCTTCACAATTTCAGGCATACTGTAGTATCCATTGATGTGCTCAAACTCCTGCACCTTCTTCCTAATAAGCGACATTACACCAATTCGAGTCAAGACATGTTGACGGCTGAGGCCCTCACGAGGTACTCCATCAGCAAAAGTTTCTGCATTGTCGGCGCCAGGCTCACAGAGATGGCGCATGAAAAGCGACACATACGACTTGAAATTGCGTTCTGACTTGCCACGAAGATCACGTACCAACCTATAGAAACTGTGAGCTTTATAAAATAATCATATGTTTATTCTGGTTAGCATACCATTGAGAGTTGAAAGAGTCTTGCGGAGGCATTCCGTAACGCATGATGGCATTGAGGAAAGCCTTTCTCTGGCGTGCGTTGAAGCCAAGAACCTGCCAAGGTGAAATATATTTTAGAAGTGGATAGTGATAAGGTAATGGCATTAAATTGAATACAAAATATAAGTGTGCTGGAAGGCCTTTAATAACAATTTTTTAACTGTAGAAACATTATTCTATAACTTCCAGCTAGGCCAGAGGCCTTTGCTTTGCCGAGACACAAGTCAGCATTCATAATTGGAATGAAAATGCATTGATGGTGTCATGTCTCGGTCTATGATTTTATAAAATACGTTATTCACATACACCCAAAACTCTCAGGCTAGTTGCTGCACTATTGCACTTGCAACTCTGCAGTAGAGCAGCAATGAACATAAGCGTTCTGGACAGTTGAATAAACGATTAGGTAAATCAAAATCTTACCTCGATATTTCCACCAACACGAGCAAGAAGCGGTGGCAGAGGCCTGTCCTTTTCATCCCTCCTTTCCATTCCTCTTCTTCTTCCACTCCTTCTACCAGCTTCATTTCCATCACCCTTTTCATCAAAGTCATCATCCTCTTTATCATCGTCAGATGGAGCAGAAAATTCAGAGTTGTAGTCTGAGAGGTTGTCTTGCCAGGTGGTGTCATCTCTTCCGTCAGCAGCATCATTGTAGTTGACCTGTTTGCGGACACGTTTGCCCTTGCCAAGGGTGCGGGCTAGGTCTTCTTGCTGCTGCTCGTAATGGTGGCGAAGCAGTTTCACCCAGTACGCAGGGTCTGTGTTCTCTGCCTCTTGCTTGATAATTTCTGTAGCCGCTTCCTCCTCCTCATCATCGCCTTCCTTGGTCACGTAACTTGCCACCTGTCAGCAGTGTAACAATAAGTTCATGCTAAGAAAAAAGGCTAGATTTTTTACCTTGAATGATGAGAGATATTCGTTGGCCCAGTTCTCCTTCTGCTCAATGCCCTCCTTGGTTCTGTCCAAAAGATCTGAGATGGCCTTGTCATCATAATGAATAGCTTCTTCTTCTTTCCCTTCTTCTTCCTTGAACAATTCCTCGGTACCAAACCTCAGGATGTCGTCCAGTTCCTGCTTGGTGAAGTTAGTGCTCTTGCCACCCATTCCAGGGCGCACAACCAAGTGTGTGAGCATCATTTTACGTTTTGCAACTTGTGTGACCCTCTCTTCTACAGAGTTACGAGTCACAAACCGGTAGATCATGACCTTGTTAGCCTGGCCGATACGATGGGCTCGAGAGAAGGCTTGGATATCGTTGTGGGGGTTCCAGTCAGAGTCGTAGATGATGACAGTGTCGGCTGTGGCCAAGTTGATGCCCAAACCTCCAGACCTTGTAGAAAGAAGGAAAACAAACTGCTGAGCACCTGGCGCATTGAATCTGTCAATGGCCTCTTGTCTCATTGTGCCAGTGATACTGCCATCAATTCGCTCGTATTTGTATCCTTCACCCTCAAGGTAATCCTCTAGGATGTCCAACATTTTGGTCATCTGAGAGAAGATCAGCACTCTACAAAGAAAATTGTTAGCTGCTATTATTGAATTTTTAAATTTTGAAATACCTGTGGCCAGACTCCTTTAGAATGTGAAGCATTTTGTAAAGCAGTACCAGCTTTCCTGATGCCTTTACCAAAGCTTGGAGTTCATAAGTGCCATTTGGAGCCACAGGGGCCTCCATTGACGCAGCAGGAAACAAGTAGGGGTGGTTGCAGCACTTCTTCAGATCCATCATTATGTTAAGCAAAGACACTTGCTGACCACCACCCTTTGCATTCAGAGCCTCATAGTTCCTTGTAAGAATGTATTTGTAGTATTTCTTCTGCATCGGAGACAGCTCAACTCGGACAATGAATTCCGATTTAGTGGGCATGTTCTGAAATAATACAAACATAAGTTTTTAATGCATAGAATATAAAATTATAAAACAAAAATTTAGTAGCGCGTGGTTGCAAAATGCTCAGAAAGAGAGTTCAAGAGTAAAATTATCATTTCAACATGATTTTCAGAGTTGATAAATCGTCATTGCATTAACTTCACCTATTTTATTTTTGTCCTAGCATTCTATAATACTTATTATTAGCTGTAATACTAACCTTGAGCACATCAGCTTTAAGACGACGCAGCATGTGAGGTCCCAGCATGTCATGCAATTTCTGGACTTGCTCTTCCTTTGAAATATCGGCAAACTCGTTTTGGAACTCTGTAAGGTCATTGAACTTGTCTTTCTCCAAGAAGTTCAGCAAATGGAACAACTCCTCTAAGTTGTTTTGTAGAGGCGTTCCAGTAAGGAGCAGCTTGTAATTTATTCGGTATCCATTCAGCAGACGGAAGAACTTGGACTGGTTGTTTTTCAATCTGTGAGCTTCATCAACTACCAAGCAGGCCCAATCAATTGATCCCAGGCAGGCGGCGTCAATACAAACTAACTCGTAACTTGTGAGTAGGACGTGGAACTTGACGTTACTTGATCTCATTTTGGATACCCTAGTGCCTCCCCTGACAGCATTTTCGTCAAAGGACAGCTCATGTTCTCGAATGACCATGCGAGAGTCCTTGTCGCCCACGTATGTGACGCAATAGAAATCGGGAGCCCAGGTTTCAAATTCACGCTCCCAGTTAATGATGGTTGAGAGAGGGGCACTGACTAGGAAGGGTCCCTTGCAATGACCTTCCTTGTACAATGAGTACAAAAACACAATGGTCTGGATGGTTTTTCCGAGACCCATTTCATCAGCTAAAATAGTGTTTATGCCCTGGCCCCAGCTGTAACGCAACCAGTTGAGACCCTCCAGCTGATATGGATGAAGTTGCATGTTGGTTTGTTCAATGTAATCGGGTTGCTTCTCATACTTCTTACTCAGGTTTGTAACTGGCCTCTCTGGGGGTGGAGTGTAACGACGAGGTGCTCTTTCTTCATCCTCCTGTAGCTCTCTTGTTTTGGATTTTTTTCCCTTGCCTTTTTTGCCCTTCTTACTGCTATTACCATCGGCATTCAAAGACGTGCGAAGATCCTGTAAGTTACAAATAAGTTTTAAATATTAAGATTCTGAATGGAATTTTTAGATTCATTACTAGTTTTAGAAGAGTTAAAAAAAGTTTTTCATGCAAGGACAAAGGAAATTATTTTACCTGGTAATAATCAACAGCTAAGTGCAATCCATGTATGGTGCCATCATCAAACTCCCAAGTTGTTTGGTCATATCCCAAATCTCTCCACTTAACCAAATACATACAGGACCCGTCTCGCAGTTGCTTATGGTTGATGACGCGGTGAACGATGAGCCACTCAGGCTTGACTCCATATCTGTAGAACTTCTCTTCAAACTCGACACCATCGACGCCTGCTTCCTTCAGTCTCTTCATCCTGTTATCCATCTCATCGAGTGACTCGTCCAGCTTGGGAGGCTCATCCATGTCGTACTTCCTGCAATAGCAACGGAACATAGCCGGATGGAAAACATCCATTTGAAGCTCTGTGATCCAAGAGCAGTGCCAGTAAGATTTGTCTGCCCACTTGACAAAGAATTCTCTCTGTCTCTTAGCATTTCGTTTTTTCACTGTTTGCTCTTCATTCTTTTTATCTTCAACATCTTTCTTCTCCACCCATCGCCATGTAAGAATCTTGCTGACCTTGCCAGGAAGTTGCTCGGCTGAACATCTGGGACATTTCCAATCACCGTCCGGAATTTCTGTCAGCGGTGGATTGAGGCAGAATGTGTGATAGGCGGACGGACACTGGTCACAACACAGCAGCTCGCCGCCATCCTTGCAAACTCGGCAGAATTCCATGTGCTCGTCCTCCTCTTGCTCCTGCACTCCTTCACCTTCGCAGTGAGGACAAGACCACTTGCCTTCTGGAGCCTCCTCAAGCTCTGGCTCCAAACATACCAAGTGATAAGCTCGTGGGCAAGTATCGCAAAGGATAATTTCTCCACCCTGCTGACAAACTTCGCAATAGTCTTGGTGGTCAGTCACTTCAAACCCTTCTTCTCCTTCACCCAAGGGGAATTTGCTGGTAGTCTTGGTCTTCTTTTTCTTTTTGGTTTTGTTACCAATTTTGGTCTTCGCCTTCCTCCTCACAGGCGGTTCAACAACTTCAGCCTCAACTTCCTCCGGCTTGGCAGCTTCTTCAGCCTCTTGAAGCATTTGCTCGAATTCAGCATCCGAGTCGCGGTCAGTGACGCTCTTTTCTTCGTCAGAACTGCCTCTCTTGCGCTTGCCCAATTTAATCTTGAGGGTGGGAACTTTGCCTCCGCTCTTCTTGCCACCCTTCTTGCGACCTCGCTTCCTTTTGCTCCTGTCTTCCTCTTCATCGTCTATCTCTTCCTCCTCTTCCTGAGCAGCAGGCGTTGCTGAGGCGCGAGATCTGCTAGGCTTAGGAGTGTACTCCGACTCTAATGATTCCTCTTGTTGCATGTGAGGGTTTTCAGCAGCAAACTTTCTCCATTTGGCTGCCACAAGCATCATAAGTTTTGATATAGCAACCTAATTTGAACAAATAAAATAATTTAATTTAATACGATTCTCAATATCTGACAGCAAAATTATACCTTTGGATTTTCCTTGGCCAAGAGAGGCCTAATGTGTGCCATGTATTGCTTATATGTGATCAAATTGGCAAGTTCTTCATCTGTATAGTCGATGTCTACGTCTGTAAGGCTGAACGTCTTGCAAACTTCGTCAATGCTGGGCATATCAGCTTTTTGCAGAGGAAATTTAGACTAAAATTTAAATAAACTTTGATTGTAACTTACAGACAGAGGCATCAGCAGAAGCAGCGGCACTGCTGCTTGCGGCAGGGGTTGAGGTTTTCTGGCCCCGAGAGCGGCGGCCCTTCTTGCTACCGTGGTCCGAGTCTCCAGCCTCTTCCTCTGCATTCTCACTCTCCTCAGAGTCATTCTTCTTCTTCTTTTTCTTCTTCTTTCCCTTTTTTTCTTCTCCTCGAGCTTTCCGCTTCTTCCCTTTTTTGCGCTTTTTGGAATCACCAGGCTCATAATCATCATCTTCCTCCTGTTGTCCAGCTGGTGCGGCGCCCTCAGAGTCGTTCTCTTCCTTCCCTTCTCCTGCGACCTCTTCCTCTCCACCCTCTACTTCTTCATCTTCCTCACCTGAAATCAAATTTATAATACATGATTAAATTAAAAGTTCTGAATAAAGAAAAAAAAAAATACTACAACCGACTAAAACAATGAAATTTATTGTCGATTTATATGAGTTTTAATTGTAAGATGCATATTGCAGAAATTAATAAGATTGAAAAATTATAATTTAATGGTAAGTTCTAAACTAAAAAGTAATAATAATAAATATCTTCATTTTGTTTATTGATTTAAAATAGAGCTGTATCTATTTCTACACTAAGAATCATTTTAAGCCTAAACAATCCAATAAGTATTAATTTTTCATATTTTCTATTAATATAGGACATTTATCATTGTTAAATGATTCGCCGAGAGGATTTTATAAACGCTCGTGCTGTGCCGTCAAATTTCGTGTGTTTCGTTGCGTCTTCGTAAATTGCGGTTCAATGTCCCTGCAGCTTCGCTTGTCCGCTACGCCTCCGCTTGGCGTATCTGAATGCAAGCCCAAACAAATTGAGCAATTTGCTGGACAAATAAACTGAAGTTGGCCAAGTTGCAACAAATTTCAAGAAACAATTTATTCTAGTAATGCTTTTAATATTCACCAAAATTATTTTCTATACTCCAATTAAAATTTCTGATTTGATTATTATTATTATTGTTGTTTTTTTGTCCAAATTGTTACAAATACATTGTTTGCATTCAAATTTTGAAAACAATTATTTAGAAAGACAAAAAAAGGACAAAAAGGCATCACCACTAGCAAAAATTTTGCTAAAACTTCCAAGATCAAAAAGACCCCATCCGCCGCAGTGGCGCAGTGGGCCTCGGTTCTTATCACTTTATCACAAATTTTTGCCTGCAAATGTTTCCTTCCTACTTATGAACTTTTGGCAAAAAAAACTTAAAGCATGTCTGTAATAAGAAAAAAAAAATGATTCAAATAGTTTCAAATTTAAAACTGTGTTCTTTTGATTTTATTTTATAAGTAAATTTTGTTTTATTTTATTTATGATACTCACAACAGGAAGAATACATGTGAATCATTAATATAAATGTTTAAAAAAAATCTTTTACAAATAAAACTATTTATCCAAGTCCCTAGAAACTCTGTCCTCCGCTTATTGCACCATGCGTCATTCAGAACGAAAGGGTTAACATGGTTTTTCTTGACATCTCGAGTGTCAACATTGTAAATTAAGAACAATTTAAAATTTTTGTTGTTCTCAATCCATCATTTTAATTATTGTAACAGCATTCGCAGCCATTGATTCAGTTTGACCTGATAAATCTTTTCTCCGGTAGGGGGAGCGTGGCGAATTTCGGCATTTTTTCGGCCGGCCTTGCCATGCCCGAGATGAATACAAAATGCTCGTGGTCAAGCAAAAGTGCCGCGTCGAAATAGTCCGAAAAGGACGCCGAGAGAATTCATCCACAAAGGGCAGTCAGGCCGACGATTTCGGCAACCAAGTGCATTCGGCAAATTTTAGCGTCGGCTTTGGCACGTCAATGTCTTTGTTAGATGGCCTCCATTTTGTGGAGGGGTCGCGGGAGTCGAGGCAGCGGCCCGCGCTGTCGCGAACTTCTTCTTAATCACCCTTCAATTCGTTCACCCGGGTGCGGAAACCACCCCCGCAACCTTCAGCAAGGGTGTAAATTACACCGGTCGACGCCCAGACAATTCCCGAAGGGTATCGGCCACTTGCGGCGCCGGCAACCCGAGTCGGCGTCCGAAGTTTGGACCGATCGGTAATTAATCAAATAGGCCGAGTCGCGGTGCATGCGGACCACTTACCGGCGAAAGTTTCTTCCTCAGGATCGTCGGAGGCCATCGTGTCGGCAAAAGTGAAGATGAGTGTGCGTACGGTGCCCTCGGTCTGGGGAATTTGGCCGAATTTACTGCGAGTCGGCGACGGAAATCATCACCCGAATTCAGGAGACGATTCTTTCTCCACCGCAGTTTTTTCGTTTTCGCCAATTGCCGCTAGAGCGCCTGCGCGTTGATTGTTGATCGCGATTCGGCGTGACGTCACCGCGACCCGCTAAATATTGTCTTCAATTCCACGCGATGTCTTTTTTTATTATTTTTTTTAGGTGCAAAGTTTGGTATAATTTTTTAATATTAGCTGGAATTTATGTTGCAAAGAATAAATGTACAATAACTATAAAAATTATTTCAAATATTTCAAATATCCTCAGTCATTAAAATCGGACAGACGAGATAATATATAATATATGTAATAATGGAAAAGCAAGAAAATTAACTTCAAAATTTCAGACTCTCTGCTCCGCTCTGCTCTGCTCATTAATTATACTTTTTGACGGGTCATATATTTCATTAAAATTTTGTTACCACTTGTGACGAACTGTTTGAAATTATCAAAATTACTCTCTAAAAAGTGGTATAAATAATAAATATGAGAAAAGTTCACTCCCAGTAATAAAAGCGTAAGCGTTCACTAAAATAGGGAATACATAATCGGGGATATTTACAAGAAAAGTTATATTATGGGAATTATTGCAAGTACCAGGCAGGTACTAACTTATAATGTGAATATCCCTCAATCTATAATTTGTCGAAATAAATAAACTTTTAGTCACAATATTAAATCTTAAACTATATTTTAATGTTTATACGGTAAGCCATGTGGAAACAAGAAAAATAAAAGAAAAATTTGAGAGCTTCCCTCTTATCTTATAAATAAAATGCTATGCAAAAAAGATGGTTATAATGGTCAGTTATTAACAAAGAAAAAGGCAATTTTAAAGATTTTTAAACTACGTACTTCTAAAATATTAAAATATAATATTTGAAATCGCGAAAAAAACATAACTGGAACAAGTTTATTAATTAAATTTTTATATATATAGATTTTTCTAAATTTTAAAAATCATACTTTTGGGATCTTTACAATTTGGATACTTATATTTTTATTGCATATTTTTGTATCTTATCATTTAAATTTATTTGACTACCTACAACAACGTGAGGAAAAATATTTCTTTTAATTTCTTTTTACTATGTTCTGTTGAACTTGTAGCCTGAATTACAAGAAGCGTGCAAAACTTTTTCTCATGTACTTTAGCTCCATCTAAGTGAAGGCTGCGACAACTAGCTTATATTTTATCCAACAAGTTTATGTCCTTCGGCAAAACGAGTACGGACGAGGGTGGTAGACAGGGAAATGAGAAAAGCTTGCTCAGCCCCTCAAGCGCGTGAGAGAGGAAAAGAGCAGAAAAAGAAGGAGGCTATAAACGACCCTCGTAGCCTAGCTAAAAGCAATGTCTTGCTCTGCGACAAACGTATTTCATTTGCCGCTAAGCAGAAAATTGCAATTGTAGGTTGTGCGTTAAATTTTACTTGGCAGCCATTAGTAGTGGAGTCGACCTGCACCACTGGCCGCAAAGTGGCAGTAAATAAAATTATTAATAAAAATATTAATTATTTTGTTAGAAAAAAAATTATTGGAAAAATTGTTTATAGAATTGTGGTAATAATAAAATAATTAAATAAAAGATCAACCAAGCTTAAATAACTGAGCTTCTTAAATTATAAAGTGTGAAAAAGAGCTGATCATTTTTGAAGATTCTCTTTTACCAACGACCAAGCCCATTTTTTTAACTTTAAGATTGTCTCCTCAAGAGCTCACTACTTCGACAAAGGTAAAAATACTAAAAATTTTAACGCTATCCTCGTATAAAATTAATAGACATTGAAAAGAATAGCTGCTATAAAAATAAGGCAGCAATAAAAAATAAATTCTTGCTTTGGTCAGTGGATTCTGTTTGAATATTTTTTAGGGTCAAGCTAAGACAAAGTCACGTTGGCCTGTGCCTTTTACTAGTGGTGCGGGTGTAAACGGCACCAATATATTTTATTTTGAAATTTTTGGTTCAAATTTGATTAAATAACTGGCAAAATCCTTATTTTCTACTAACAAAGCTGAATATATCATTAAAAAATTAATTATTGATTGGAATAAATAAATATTGATTCCTTGAATATCTAATTCATAGTAATTAATTATTTAATAAGGATTTTTTTTTTAAAAAATCACATATTTCGCAACACTTTCAGCAGGTATGTTTTTGCAACAGAATTTCACACTGAAGGTGGATTTCTCTTTCAACTCAATGTGTTGCCTTTGCCTCTGCGGTTTGGGGTTAGTTCTGGTTGCATTTACGTCCTTATAAAAATACAAAAGGCTGCTTTATTTTCACACGGTTACTTGATTTCAATTTTTAACAGCGATTCGCACATCTTCATTAAATCCATAACAACCCATATATAAAAAATTCATATAATTATGAATCCAAGCATTGCGCTCTTGAAATTCTCTGGAACACAAAGGTTATCGCCGACGGAGATAACCAGATTTTTTTGAGCAATTGACGTGGGTGAAGCACGCAAGCAGCAGCAGCAGCAGGTCTTTTACGAATTCATCTGCGTCGTCTTTCGAGCAGGATTTTGTATTCGGCTAGGGTTACAAAGGCCCTCGTTGAATAAGAAATTTGGAAACGCACGGGCAGCGTCGAGGGGGCTTTTGTGTTGAGCGTCGGGGACCCCAGGCGAGGAGCGGAGCACGTTAAAATATTTATAAATTAAAAAGCGCACTGGCTGGCGTACGCGAGAGAGATGAGAGAGAGGAAAAGAGAGAGATGCTGTTTGACGGCAAGGGCGCGCGCGTGTGATCGATCTCGGGGGCCGCGAGAGAGGCTGCGCGGACCGAGGAGGCGGCCTCCGCCACATTAAAAATCTTTTGCTGGTCAGCGGCCGTCAGCATCCAGTGCGACGGGAGATGTCGAAGTGGACACTGTAGGCATGGCCGAGCATCGCGACAAGGCCCAGCAGAGCCTCCTGAGCAACGGCTTTTTGCCCGCAGCCGCCCCCGCCGCCTCCGCCGAAGACACCCTCGCGCCCACCGAGCTTCTGATGCTGCGGCAGGAGGAAGGCTCCACCTCGGTGGTGGTCATCCATTCCCGGCAGCCCAGCCTCCAGCCCCCAAACCCCCGCAAAAGCTGCCCGCTCTCGTTGGTGGCCGCGTCCATACTTTTGGCCTGCTTGGCCACCTTTTCCATCACCATGCTGCTCCTGCTGAGGCTGCCCGCCCGCACTCTCGGTGAGCATCGCAAGGGTTTTTTTCTACCTGTTGTTTATTTTCGGGCACACACGTGGTACCATTTAGGGTCCTTGTCGGCTGTGATGAATTGCCGAAAAGGGTTCACAAAGAAAATAATGCTTTATGGCTTTTCTGCCCAGTGTGGTCTTTGCACACTCACGCCTCTCAAGCTGAAACAAAGGAGCTTGACAATGAGTGACGTGAACCACCTGTTAATTGCTTCGGATGCCTTTGTTCAAGTAATCACCTGCATGTGTTTGAGCATGACAAATAATACCTCTCCTGCGAAAAAAAATCACAAAATTTCAATTTGTTTTCCAAAATTGAATAAATTTATACCAAATTTATGCTAACAAATCATAAATCAGCAACAATAATTTTTAACTGACTAGTTGGTTTTTGAAGAGAAAAGATAAATAATTATTTCATGTTCACTTCATTCAAGGTTAATTAATTGGCCAGTTAATGTTGTAGATTTTCATAGAGGTATTTTTTTTGTAATATTGGCCCACAGAAATACTATGGATAATGTTAACTTAATACAGAGACACCATTCCATGGCAAAGGAAAATTTTTATTACGCGATATCCTTGATTCCTTCAAGTAGGTTGTAAACAGTAATCTGAGAAAATAAGATTGCAAACCTCAAAAATTCCCCACGGTTAGTTCCTACTTCTTTATTCTGAAACCCAAGTCGTACTCCAGCGCAGTGATACTTAATAGCTTTGCACGTAAAAAGATCCCTTTCAATTTAATAATAACATAAAGAATATTCGCATGATGTAAGGTAATAATAATTGTATATAATCCAATCATAAATTTTTGTTAATATCTAAATTGTACATTTCTTTCGCTTTCAGACACCTCCGATATCTGCCTCAGTGAAGAGTGTGTCAGGACAGGTAAGCCGGTTTTTGCTGCCACAAAAAAATTAACAGCTTTATATCCCTTGAATTTTTTTGCTTAATGTGTGAAGATCTCAAGGACATAAAAATCAATATTTTTGGTGCGATTAATTGGGATTAAAAATAAATATAATACAGATTTGTGGCGATTCATTTTTCTGACGTTATTAATTGAAGTTTTGACAAAAACGCATAATTAAATAAGGCTGGCCTTTAAATTATTATTCTAGAGTGTCTCCCAATTTAACGCCATATTAGTTTAGGGTCTCTCCTCAGCGTAAGTTTATGCGTAGGTTTTTGGTTTGCTGGGGGACCTCAAGTAGCCCCCAATTAGTATATCGTTATTTGAGAGACGAAGTTTTATACTTCAAAGATCCGGGTATCAAATTGACACGCGTGACATTAGGGAACGTTAGCTACGAATAATTTAAAAATTTCCTTCTTCCGACCCTGTCATTTGATGCGTTCTTGGAATTAGATCCAATTGCAAAACACTTTTGATCCATATTGCGCCGTGCGTCCAGGCACTACGGGCGGTGAAAGTTGATAACAGGGGGAAAATGCAACCTGCTGGACAGTGGAGTAGGTCAAATTGCATAACGCTGCATAATTATATTATTTTGCGAGAAAAAAAAAACAAAAAAAGGATGATGTAGATGTCTGACTGTGGTAGGATGTGACCTTATGAATTTTTAACCCGAATTGCCTTGGGAGATTTTATGCGCCGCTAAATTTATAAACAATGTGTGAATGGGCTTTTGAAAGCGCGCCGGTCACCACCAAAGTGTTTTGTAAAATGTAAGCGGCTATAGCAATTTGATTATGCAAATAGATTCAAGGTCCTTTGCTTGATTTGAGCTCCTTGCATTGAAATTATATTTGACTATCTTTTGTTGAGAATTTGAGATAATTAGTAATTTATTAAAATTTCACAATTAGGAGACTAAAGAATAAGATAATGTATAGAGGAACTTTGATTTCAGCGGCGTCTTTGCTATCAGCAATTGACTCAACGGCAGATCCGTGTCAAAACTTCTTTCAATATGCCTGTGGCTCGTGGAATAAGAAGCATGTTATTCCAGAAGACCGCAGCTCAGTCAGCACATTTGAAGTGATGGCTGACCAGCTTCAGGTCGTCCTTAAAGGTTAGTTTTTGGCTTTTTATTCTTTAGCACGCAACTAGGTGATGGGTGACAATTTTAGCCCATCAATTGGAGTTTTATCATTTGGATTTCAAATTTAAAGCTAAGCTTTTTTTTTTAAAGTCGTAGAGCTTCAAATAGCTTATTTTAGATCCCCTGCTATAAAATAGCTCAGCTTTAAGCTCTGTTACTTGCGAGAACCCTTCTCCTTGAGAATAATTGTCTACAAAATAGAAACTGAGCGGGAAATGGAGTCGGAAATTGCTCTCCACCAACATGCTCGAGGCACAAGGCTACTTTTCACGCGACGCAACGTCTCTCTCGTTTGATAGCAGAGCTTGAAGGCACTAGAGAGACTTTCCCAAATGATTAGAATCCTGATTTAGAATCTCGTTCTCTGTAATAGCTAAAAAATATTATTATTAATTTTACATAAATTACTAAATTACTAGAATTATACAAGTTTTTCATAAATTTTATTAAAAGTACTTTTAAAATATTTTATTTTTTACTATGATCAATACGTTAAATCTGGTAGAAGCATGAGAAATGAATTTTTTAACGTAAATTCAAGCAAAATTGAATTTAAAATGATGGTAAGACTTGCATTAAAATAAGGCACGCGTTGATGAAATTTCAGGTCTTTTAGAGGAGCCTCTCAATGAGCACGACAATGACGCAACCAAGAAGGCGAAGCTATTTTACAAGTCATGCATGGACATTCGTAAGATGGTTTGATCTCTACGAAGGAAAATTATTGATAATTTTTTTCTTGCTTATAAATAGCAAAAATAAGAAAACTGGGTGACAAGCCCCTTCGTCAGGCAATGACCACATTGGGAGGATGGCCGGTGGCCTCGGACAATTGGAAACCACCAGCGTTTTCAATTGAAGCTTTGCTGGGGCGGCTGCGAGGCGAGTACAATGAGAGGGTGCTCATCGAGCAATGGGTTGGACCTGACGATAAAAACTCGTCAGTGAACATCCTGCAGGTGCGGCCCAAGTAAGAAAATTACGTCCCACCCTTCTGTCTCTCCCTGTTAAAAGTAGCATGTATCTACTAAGTCCTTCAGATGGTAGTGTGATACAAAAAGAACTCGAAACTTCAAAATTGGCTAAGTATTCAACAATCCTTAGTTTCTTGATTCCCAAAAATTGTACAGTTGAATTTTGATTTTAAAATAACCCTTATTGTCAGCATGTCTCGAGCAAATTTCGAGGTGCTCCTAAAAATTTTCCAGGATCTTATAGGGTATAACTTAACCCCTTTTCTGCTGAGCTTAGAAGACGTGAAAATAAAAATTGAGAAAAAAATTCTAGCTGGATCAAATGGAGCTAGCTTTACCTGGCCGTGATTACTACTTGAAGAAGAGTTCCGAAAATGAAATTAAGGCATACCATAAATATATGATTGAGGTGGCTCAACTTTTGGGAGCAAAAACGGAAACTGCCTCAGACGAGCTGTTGAAAGTGTTGCAGTTGGAAAGGCGGCTTGCAAATGTGAGTTTTCAATTTTAAATACAAATGAGATAAATTATTAAAATTAAAATCTGAGCAATAGTTACTTGATTTTTTAGACGTTTCAGATCCATTTCTTTTTCATTTGCAAAAAAAAATAGTTTTATTAAAGACTCCTTATTGACATAGTCAAATCAAGTCTTTACAACAATGGTGATTAAAATGTCCAACAATTGCAAAAATCTTTTTTTATTGTTGTAAGGACTTGATTTGACTATGTCAATAAGAAGTCCTTAATTCATGCTTATTGAAAATAAAAAGATGATGAAATGAACACGAAACAAAATTTTATTTGTTTAAAGGCGTCTCTGCCAGAAGCAGATAGGCACGACACAAGCAACATATATCGCAAACTGACGCTTAAGCAGCTGCAAATTGAGGTACCGCAGGTCAACTGGCTCGAATACTTGAACGCCTTTCTTCACACCAAGGTAAAAGAAGACGAGCCTGTCGTGACCTACGCGCTGCCCTATTTCAAGGAAATGGGACGCATTCTGCAAGACACAGACCGGCGGGTCATCCACAATTATATTATGTGGCGCATGGTCATGAACATCATGCCTCACATGATCGACGATTACCAACAAAAAAGGGTCGAGTTTCGCAAAATTCTTCTTGGCATTTTGGCGGAGCGAAATCGGTGGAGCCAATGCGTCGACTGGACCAACAAGAAAATGGGCATGGCCGTTGGAGCCCTGTTCATCAGGGACAACTTCAATCTGGAGAGCAAGGTTTATTTTTTTTATTACAAAATCAGATATTTATTGGGCTTTACCTTATTTTACTATAATTTTAAATTGTGGACTTAAAAGGTTGTGTGCTTGGTAAAGCTTTCTTGAAGTTCAAATTTTTATAATTTTCTCAAACTTCCTTAAATGAACAAATCTCATTTCCATTTTTATGACTTACTGGTGTTGGGTGAACCCAGATAAACCACGATTTTACTGAAGTTAATTTCAAATAATTTTTTGCTTCAAGAAGTATTAAGTTGTAGGTTGTAGTGCAGAGTTAACGGTGATTGCCTAATAGACACCCTATTTAATTGCTACTGCAATTCTGCAGGAAACGGCCCTTGAAATGATTCACACGATTAGAGAAGCGTTTAACGAGCTATTAGCTGAAAATGATTGGATGGATAACGAAACCCGAGCGGTGGCCAAGGAAAAGGCTGATCAGATGAATGAGCGAATTGGCTATCCTGAACTTCTGACCGACCCCAAAGAGCTCAGCAATGAGTATGCAATGGTGCGTAATAAATATTATTATATATATTATTATTAAATTTCAATTGAAGCCCCTTTGAATAATTAAAAATAACTTTTCTTTAAATCATGAAATCAATTCATTCATTAAAAAATCATATAAAGATTATAAATTTTTGCAGCTTAACATCACAGAGCACGAGTTCCTTGAAAATATTTTTGGTGTGCTACGCTACGACGCCTATCACAATTTGCAAAAGCTGCGACAGCCAGTCAACAAGGACAAGTGGTCCACCGACCCTGCCGTTGTCAACGCGTTTTACAACCCTAATAAAAATGACATTGGTGAGTATACTAATATCTCTAGCTTACAGATAACGTTCTTGAGTTTCTGCTGTTATATGATAGCACATATAAGCTTATTTGTGACCTCTTCAGTTTTAATTCCTTTATTCATCAAAATGAACGAAAAAATGGACCTTTAATGCATCTGATGAACTCTTACGTAACATAAATTTGTCTTTGTTCGTTTTTGGTTTCCTTTAAAAGATGTAGCGCTAGTGAAAAATTAAGGTCCCCTGTTTCCAATGAGTATTCTATTATTAGTTTAAAACAATGAAATCAATTTTACACTTTTCATCTTGCAGACTCTTTTGATGGAGCTATTTCCAAAATCAAATCGCCAATTTGCATTTTGTGTTTGCTTAAATTTTTGTCATTTATAAATTGAAAATGATTTGTTTTTTCTTTCTTTGATAAAAAAAAAAAAAAAAAAATTAGATGAGTTAGAATAGTTGGTTCTTTAAATTCATTGAAAATGCTGTATTTTTATCTGCTTTTAGTTTTTCCTGCTGGAATTCTGCAGCCTCTTTTCTACAGTCAACACTTTCCAAAATCCCTAAACTATGGGGGGATTGGGGTGGTGATTGGCCACGAGATAACCCATGGCTTCGATGATAAAGGTAATTTTTTAGCAAATCAGCATATTAAATAATGCCAAATTAACAACAGGTCGCCAATTTGACAAGGATGGGAATCTAATGCAGTGGTGGAACAACGCCACCATCAAAGCCTTCCGCGAGCGGGCCCAATGCATCATTGATCAGTATTCAAAATACAAGTTAGATGACATTGACCATTTTGTCAATGGAAGAATGACCCAAGGCGAGAATATTGCTGATAATGGGGGTCTGAAGCAATCATACAGGGTAATTTTTTTTCTCCGCAATCAAATTACGTTCAATTCATTAATGTCATACTTGAATGCAGGCCTACAAAAAGTGGGTGGCCAAGTACGGCGAGGAGCCGCGTTTGCCCGGAATCTCTCTAACGCACGATCAGCTCTTTTTCCTCAACTATGCACAAATTTGGTGCGGCCTGATGCGCCCCGAGGATGCCCTCACCAAGATACGATCTTCAGTCCACTCGCCCGGGCCAATTAGGGTGCTCGGGCCACTCTCTAATTCTAACGACTTCTCCAAGGCCTTTAACTGTCCCCTCGGATCGCCAATGAATCCTGTTAGGAAATGTTCGGTATGGTAAAAGCAAATCGCCAGTCCCACTTAACGCACAAATCGCACTTTACCTGACCTGGACTATATTATATTGTGTAAGACTTGAATAATATCAAAATTTATGGCGCATTAAAATATTGAAACCGGAAATCCCACTAACCATTATATACTTAAATAAATTACGCAAATTACTAGCATTTTAATAATCTTGCATGCAGATTTTAGAGGCAACTTTTCGCTCTGATCCTAATGACATACAAGAAGTGCTCCTTCAGGGAGATGAACCCCTTTCATGTGATTTCTTGTGAATTTAAAATATCAAAATATTACAAAGATGTATAATATAAGAAAATGGCTTTTTGTATTATTCTGCTTACATTTTCTAGTGTCTTCTGTTTAAGCTTACACACATCTTAAAACATTAAAAATTGAGGTATACATAGCAAATATGCGCAAGTTAGAAATTGATAAAAGAATTTCTTGATTTATGTAAGAAATATCCAAACGGTATACTACAATTTTAGAGAGCAAAAGAAACAGTCAGTACAAGATTTTTAAGTTATTAATTTCAAACTGCATCTTACTGATTTTGACTGCATCTGGAATACCTCAGCTAACACGCAGCCATAGCACAATTTGTTTTCAATTTATTATTTATTTGCAAAAGCTCGTGTTTAAATGGCGATACATAAAATAGTTGAATAATAATAAATAAACAGATAAAAAAACTTAGTGAATATTTAAATTTTTTAATATTTAAATATTATAATAAACTTCGGCCGCTTTTGAAAAACTGGCATTTCTATTAATGTAATTACACGATGTATAATTAGTATCTCATTAGGTGAAGATTATAATTTAGCGCTGGTAATATGCATTCCAGAAATATTTAAAAAAAAATACTTCTGTATTAAATTTATAACAATTTAATTTTTAGTTTTAAAAATCCAAAAGCAAATGTATACTGAATAATGGACAGAAAACCTTTAAATGTGAGACTATAATATCAAAACGCAAACTAATTTTTAGAAAGCTTTTTTTAGTCATATTTAAACTTAATGGTAGCATTAAAATACAGCTGCTTTTGTATAATTATTTTATATTATGTTCATATGCACGTTTGTAGCATTTCATTGCTGTATTTTGTGCGTGTTTTTTTTAATAAAGATTAACAATTGTTTCCTAAAAATAGCTTCAAGAAGAGCAACATGTGAATATAACTTTCAAAAATAAACTTTATTTTTCATTTGAATCAGATCTAGATTTTTGTGTGCTACACTTTAATCCTTTTGAATTTTCCAAACGAGCTAATTTTGTAATTTTTATTCCGAGCAACATTTCGTGAACGCAGATGTAATCAAACAATTTGTGATGTTCGAGAATGTTTTTATTTTTCAGTATCTCATTTCTGCATCCAGACATTCCAAAATCGAAAGACCCATTGTCAAAGATTATTATTGCAGATTAAAATTTATCTTGATATTGATAATTGTGAACAATTAAATTAACAATTAATTAAACCAGGGGAGATTAGTTAAGTGGCGGAAGCACGTGCCCCTGGGCTTTTCAATGAAAAATTCAATTTGAGCAAGGCATGAAGTGATGGACCGGCGACGCCGCGCGCTTATCGACCGCATTTTATCAACTCTTTCGCGGTGCTGAGCTGCTTTCTCGCTTGTCGTGGGAAATGTACAAAACGCATGCGTTGGACACGTGCCAGAGATCGAGATACATCCCGGAGCAGTCTCTGTTGAGGGGCCATGTGATTTAAACCTTGTTTTCAACCTGGATCCGCCGCGTCTTCCTCCGGATCACTCGCAATTCAACGTCCCGACCGCGCCAACATCACCGACCTGAGGTACGTACTTGCTCCCCAGGGCTCACCCTTCCCAGTGTGCAATTTTGCTTTTTACTTTACTGCCTGACACTTCAAAGCCCCAGCTCCGCAGTGTGCAGCTGAATGGAAGATGTCAAAATGCACGAGCACCGGAATTGAGCCGAAATGAATCTTATCAGTTTTTCCGAGCGATTTACGCCTTTCAAAAAAAATTATTTTCCAATATTCCAACACGCAATTTACGCCTTACTTCAATAAACCGCAACGCAAACGTGATCGCTTTTATACACACCGTTTGGCTTATTCGCAAAGATTAGCAATCGCTAACGAGGTTTTTCCGCAAGGATAATTTTTCCGCAAACGACAAAAGGGCATTTCCGCAATAACATTTAATTTGCACCACCAATTCAAGGTAGAATTTATTAAAATGAATAAATATTAGCAATAGCATTTGGATGATTAAGCTCATTTTCAGACTTCATAGTTATATTAATGAGTTTGCATTTTATCTTGTTATGACTCTAAACATAGAAATCAAAAATTATTTCTAATGCTATTTTACCGAATTTGTAAATCTAAATAATAATACTAATATTGAAAAAAAAATCTGGAGTTATATCGTTCAATAATTATAGAAAATAATATTAGAGACTCCCTCTTGACGTTTTGAATATTATGCAGGAAATTTCAAATTATATCATTATATTGTTAAGATTGTTAGATTATTTCTCATTATTGTACTCTTACAAAAATGAATAACTATCGCCAAAACTGCACTTCAATCAGTCAAAAAGAGCAGTCAACCCTTTTCTCTTCACATATTTTTTTCACGTTTTTTTAGCAGATTGTTTGCAATTTTACGCAAAAGGCCATGATTTTTAGCAGTGGACTTAACAGAATATAATAAGAGAAGACAAATTGTTGGACAAAAAATTACCTACAATGGCAATAAGAATTTTGCAAAAACAGTTAAAATTAAACAAAATCTTCTGCCCGAGCGAGCCTTGTCCATGACGGAAAAGTGTCTCGATTCTCGGTATAAAAACTTAAGGATTTTTTCCTCTTGAAAAATTATTCATGAATAATATGACTACAAAAGCAGCTTCTCTTATTTGAATTTGTTCCGGCTGAAGCATACTTGCAAAAAATATTCAGCGCGTTGGAATGGAAATTACGACACCCCTGAATTTAACCGGGCAAATTCCAGAGGTTGGCCGGGCACATTGTGCAACTGATGCTTTTTTATCTCTTCCGCTCTCTCCGCTTACTCGGATCGTTGCCAGCAGTTGATTATCCTAATTTGAGTTGTGCACAACGGCATACGCGAGAAAAAGTGCCATTTCCCATCAAGATAAAACTTTTCCAACAGCAGCGCTGCATGCTGGGAAAATATAAATTGAAAGAGTTTGCTGAAAAATAATAATCCACGTCACATCTCTGGTGGTTTGTTAGCCGGTCTTTGTTTAGTTCTGCTGATGATCCAGTTCAAAATTTTAGCTTCTTTCTCTTCTCATTCACTGCACTCGCATTGTGAAGAAATATGAACTTATCGACCCCAGCTGGTGCGAAACAATACCAAGTGCTTAACAAAAGAAGCACAACCAACACCTTTGTCATTTTCAAGATGTGCGCTTGACAGAGTTTTATGTTTTATTACAACAATTCTGATTCCGCCATTCTTTTGTTGCGTGAGCGCAAGGCAAGAAAAAAATAACGCATTAATATTATTATTTTTAATAAACAATGTAACGCAGAAAGACATTTCAATCAAAGTTTATAAATCATAACTTTTCTGATATGTTAATTAATTGAAAAAATAATAAATTATTTAATATCTAAAGTTGAAATCTCTAATTTCCACTCACTCCCAACTCGTTGTCAGTCAGATTGACAAACAATTATTGTTGCACAATCAATTAACTTTCATAGGGAAGCAAACTGATTAAAAACAGATGCAGCGTAATTGTATCGAAGAAACGTTATCAGCGCATTAAACCTCTTAGTAACTACTATTTATTTAGGATTGATTATTATGATATATTCAATTCATAAATTTTTTCAGCATACTTTTCCTTATTTTTATTTTACATTGGAAAGAAAACTTTTAATTTATAATTTTCATATCAAGAAAGCCAGCAAGAAAAATTTAATTTCTAAAAATAGTCTTATTTTCGTTATATTTTAATTCTTTTGTTACCTAACAAGAAGATTTTTTTATCTAAAAATGTAATTGGCAAATATTGAAGCAAGGCAAATCGTTTAACAATGAAAGTTATCATGTATGTATAAAGCTGGAAATAAACAAGCTTTCTCCCCAACTTTCCACTTCTATTTTTGGAATTCTTTTTTTTTAAATAACTAGCTTTTTTTCTAAATTTTCTAATATTTGAATAACCATCAAATTATTCAGGTTACTTTGATTTAAATGTGTGCCTGCATTTTTGAACCAATTTTGAATTTAATAATTCTGAGAACAGAGAGCCTTTTTGAAAATAATCTAATTTTATTTCGTTCTCCATCTCTTTTTTACTCAACTTTGACCCAAATAGAGAATTTTGTGACTCCCTCTGCTTACATAGTTGAATTGAAAATAGTTAAGCATTAATTTTTATGCTGACCAATTGTGCGTGACTTTCAAAAACTTTTATTTCAAAACATTTGTTCTGTTGAACTTTGACCTTTGGTGCCATTCATGCTAACATAGATGAAATAATTGGAATTGAATGGGGCACAAAAATTACCCCATCAAGTCATCAAGTTCCCATGCCGACCGGCACTTGCATCGCACATTAATTGTTGTATCCGGTACCGCGCTTGGGCGTCCTTGTGGCCCTTGCGGGCTCTGCAACTCGCGCGCGCAGCAAAGATCGGACAGCTCACTTCAGCCTGATTGCCAGTGGGGCTGCTCTGGCGTGGTGACACTAGCCAATCGTAGTGATCTGATTTGATAATGTGGGGCGAGTTTTAATATACACCGCTGCACTTCAGTCGGCAAAGTGCTCGGCGCAGGCACGGACTCCGCTGCGTTTCGATTAGGCCTTGTTGAAACCCTACTCGTCTCGACGACACAGGTGCGACCAACGCTTATTAATTCTCATTTAGCAAACGATTTTGTCCCAAAAAATTACAGCAAAATTTTTATTCTCACGATTTTTGTGCTGATTAAAAAATGGAGAGTCAATTAATTTTTAATTTAGTTTTTTATTAAAGATTTTGATTTTTTTTTTATGATTATGCAGATTAGACAATCTTTTGGTTTTATAAAAACCACTTAATAGAATTAAATTTATAACAATATTTAGTTAATTATAGGAGATCCCTGATGTTTTTCTTCGAAGTAAAAATTTTAGTTTTTGTAAAGTAACTAAAACTTCAAATCAGATTGATGCTTAGGAAATTATTATGTAATCTTTACTTATTAAAAGCACGATATTTGAGTTCTTATTTTAAGTATCATAGGAATTTATTAGGAACCAATATAGATTATTTAATTTTATTAAATTCTTTTTTTTACTTTTTTTTATGACTATGACAAGAGGCCTGATAAGCTAAAAAGGGGGCCATAAGCAAAAAAATAAAAATCGTATTTATGAAAACTTGTGAAAACTGATGAAAACCATTCTAAATAAATAAGATTTATGATTTTATTTTACTATTTATTAACTGCAAAAATGATTTTTAATTAGATTCAGTGTTAAATATTTTAATTTTAATTCTACAAAAATATGGTGATCTTACAAAATGGCAAGAAATTTAATTACATTAAGCATTAAAAAATAAATTTAATACAATTCTTAATTGAAAAAAAATTATCTCGATGATTCTCATTGTCATTATATTATTGTTATTTTTACGTTGATTAACATCTCGTTTATTTTATGGTAGAATTTGACGATCGAGGGTTGATTCATGTTGATTTGAATATAAAATCGGGTTTTCCTCGATGGGTTTTGTGAGTTGTTTAAAGAAGCAGGATATTTTGTTTTATCTTAAAAAACAAACAACTCAAAGAACCCATGGAGAAAAAGCCGATTTTAAATTAAAATCATCAACTATTGTAATTTTGGTGTAAAAATTTGTCACCAAAAATTTAACTTTAACATAATATTAACTCTTCACTCTCAAAATGTCAGTTGCTTTCGTTCATAGGAAAAAGCAACTTTTAAATCAATTTAAATTTTGCAGCTGTCAAAAGCTAGCAAGCTTAGTTTTTGCTTTCCAAAAACAACAGAGGGAATCATCTAGAGAGCCCTCGCGAGGTTCTCTTATCCGTCAGGCCAAACGCAAAAAGCCGACTGCGGTCGCAATTATAAGAGTCCACTCTGCTTTCATTGATTGGTTTTGATCGATTCGTCAGAAAATAGATGTCGACAAAGCACTTACCTTGCAAAAAACGCATCTTCCTCGTCAAATCCAACTCCAACACGTGAAACTCATGCCGTCAGCGATCGCTTTCTGTCAACAAACACTTTTGGATAAAAAGCCGAGGAGGGCGAAGGGGGCGAGAGAGTGCATGAGAACAGGGTTTTAGGAAGGAGATAAGGTGAAATGTTATTAAAACCCTGATATTAAATAGTTTAAGTGATTTTATTGATTTTAATGCATATAAATTGTATTAAATGATTGTGAAATTTTCATTTAAAAAATTAAATTGCAGCATACCCTTGAGTTATTAGAATTTTAAAGCACAACATATAACTCCTCTTATAAGCCACAGGTAATCATTAATCATTTTGCCACATTTTGCTAGTCTGCTGGAAAAACACATGTTTTTGTTTACATTTTTGCTGCTCAAGAGATGAACTAGATTTTTCCATCTCGCTTTTAATTTACCTGATTTGTACTTAAATTTTTCTTTGGAGTAATATGCAGACGTATTACTCCAATCGACGCTTTTTTCTCCGTCGTTATTTAATGCGCGTTATGTAGCACAACCACTTTTTTGTGGAATCGCACCTCGTCTCTGTCGATGCACTTCAAATTTTATGATATATTAATATTTTTACTACATAATTATGTGATTGGATTGTATTGAGAATTTTGAAGCGCGGCTAATGTACTTAATTGCTTTTATGCAACCCGTCAATGTGAAAAAAAACGAGGACAAAAAGGTATAAAATTTCTTTACATACATACCTATGAGTCATAACTTAACTCAAGCCAACCATTGTACTTAAATTTTTACTCCAGGTTCTATACTTATTAAGTGGTTGCCTCTTTTGAGAACAATTTTTTTCATATTGAAAAAAAAATACTTTCTTACGAGGCTACTAAAAGAGCAAAAATATGAGCAAAGTCATACCAAGTTGCAACAAGATGTATTCGTCTTATACAGACGGTAAATGACGCAAGAAAATCTCATTTTTTTAAGGTTTTAAAATAACAAGAGAATATAAAAATTCCAGAAAAAATCTCCATCCAAGAAGAAGCGGCAAACAGCGATGACGATTTCAGTGAGCGCAAACGTTTTCTTGACCCTTGCCAGTCGCAAGGGCGTCTCACAAAGGGCAAGACTAATGAAAAGAGAGTTAGGTATAATTTCGCAAGAAAATAGGTACCAATCCTCAAAGCAGGATAATTCGTTAGGGCCAGTGAATAGTAATGAATTTTTGGTGCAAATTATTTAAATAATATTCCCTTTTCAATATGTGTACAAGAGAAGGCAAAATATATGAATCACATTTTTTTTTTGTGGTTTTTGTCTGTCCTTTTTTAAGGCTTTTATCAACTTGGATTTCCCAGCATTACTAAATTACTATAATAAATTTTGCTTGATTATCTTTATTGTTTATTGGCTTAAACAGCGACGCTGATCCATATTACAAGAGAAAGGATTGGCAGGCTGATGCTTTAAACTTTTTTAGTCTGGTCTTGTAACTTGGCCAAGAACTTTTCTGAATTCAGTAGAGTTTAAATAATTCAACTTAATTTACTGAATTAAATAATTATTAAAAAGACAAATTTAATTTCTCTACTTTTACTAAACCAAATTTATTCTTGAAAGTCTTTAAATCACTTCAAATATTAAAGTAATTTTTTTGCTAAAAACAATTTCCTAATTAAAAATTAAAATGCTGCTATTAAAACTTTTTGCGAATGCTGTAAGGATTTTTTTTACAAAAAATTTATTTTCTTTTACAGAATGCCGGAGGAAAACTCGAAGGGCGTTTTGCCGATCGAGAGCGACCTGGGGTCACCAATGGCTGTCTCAACACCTGATCCGCTGGTGGTCAAAGACATGCCCCAGGACGAGTACAAGGTTTACAAACGACGATGGCTGGTGTTGGCCCTCTTCGTGCTCTACTCGGCTTCCAACTCCATGCAGTGGATCCAGTACTCCATCATTGCCGACGTCATCAACAGGTACTACGGAGTCAGCTTCCTGACCATCGACTGGACATCGATGATTTACATGATCACATACATCCCTCTTATTTTTCCAGCATCCTGGATTTTGACCAAAAAGGTATTTCATATTTAAAATCGTAAAAAAAGAAAACTTCAATTTTTATTAATATTTTTTTTAATCTAGGGGCTGAGATTTACAACCCTGGTTGGCTCTCTGGGCACATGTGTTGGTGCCTGGATTAAAGTGCTTTCAGTGGCCCCTGACCGCTTTTGGGTTTCATTTGTTGGTCAAACTATTGTGGCCGTTTCTCAAGTTTTCATTCTCTCAGTACCTTCCCGCTTAGCTGCTGTCTGGTTTGGTCCAAAACAAGTGTCATCTGCTTGTGCAATTGGAGTTTTTGGCAATCAGGTAAACACGCGAAAATTTCAAGTGAATTCTAAATTTATTCAAAAACTCATTTCAGCTTGGAGTGGCAACCGGATTTTTGCTGCCTCCTCTTTTAGTAAAGAACCAAGAAGCAATCGAAAATATCGGGCAGGATTTGTCTGTCATGTTTTACGGCGTTGCAATTTTCACCACCATTCTCTTTGCATTTCTTGTCATTTGTAAGTACAACTTGACACTGATATCCTCTTTTTTCTAAATATTCTTTCTGCAGTCTTTAAAGCAGAGCCGCCAACTGCTCCAAGCGCTGCCATGGCTAACAGGAACAATGAAGGCAGTGAGGAAAGTCCTCGTGAATTTATCCAGACTCTCGGAAGGTTGTTTAAGAATTGGGGCTACATTTTACTCTTACTCAGCTACGGAATTAACGTCGGCGTCTTTTATGCTCTCTCAACCCTGCTCAATCAAGTTGTACTTGCTCACTTTGAGGTAGGTTTGATTTAAAGAGTTAAATTTTACTTTTAAAGGGGTTATGACTTTACTAAATTGCAAGAGACACTTAATTGTTTATGTATTTTTTTTATTCCATTTCAGGGTGCAGGATCTGACGCAGGTAATATTGGGGTCAGCATCGTTATTGCAGGAATGCTGGGATCACTTGTGTGTGGCATCGTTCTTGACAAAACTCACAAATTCAAGTATAAAGTTTTTTACTTGTGTTGGATATTTTATAATAATGATTTTTTTCAGGGAAACGACTCTACTAGTGTATGTGTTCTCACTGCTGGGAATGATTGTATACTCGGCAACTCTTGGTGCTGGTCACATTGCCATAGTCTACGTTACAGCTGCCGCACTCGGGTATGTGCCATAAAATATTTGCAGACGCTCTTAATGATTTACTTTACTGTTTTGGGGGAGTTTCTTAAGTTATTATCTTTTGATTGACCTTCATTGCCATTGTTCTCTAGACACAGACAAACAAGATAACAATTTACAGTTTTGTCTGATATGCTGTCATTAATTCATTATATAAGATCACAAGATCCACGTGCAAACTGGAGGTGTAGAATATTCCATATCCATTACAAGAAATTTTTCAGTGAAACCTCTCTTACATAATATAACTAATGTGCCCTAGGTTTTTCATGACCGGATATTTGCCTGTCGGATTCGAATTTGGAGCTGAGCTGACCTATCCTGAAGCCGAAGGAACGTCTGCTGGAATTCTCAACGCATTTGCCCAGATCTTTGGTGTTGTTTTCACAATTATTTATGGGCAGTTGTTTGGTGAGTGGGGTGATATATCAGCAAATATTTTTGCTTGTGTGGCACTTCTCATTGGAGTGGTGCTCACAGCTCTGATCAAGTCAGATTTGCGTCGTCAAAATGCAACAAATGCTCGACCAACCGAAGCTATTTAATTTTCAAACTGCAATCAAATTGTGACAATAATGAAGAAGAAGTAATGCTAACTTCAAGAAAATTGCTACGCCGAATTTGCGCATGTTAAACTTTCTGTCTTTAGCACATCATGTGTTCTATTTTCTAGCAACTTTTGTGATCAAAATGCGCAACATTATTTTTGAACCTTAATTCTTAAGTAGCAAACCAAACAAGTTGTGGGTGATTTCAAATTATTGTTATGTAGATGCGTACTCCTGTATGGCATAGTGCTGATTTTATGGTAGGAGACCTCAATTTCTCATTTATTCTAACTTAAATAATGACATTATTTTGCATTCCATATTAATTCTGACCTTGTGCCATTTTTATTCCAGTTATCATTTAATATATAATTTTTTACTATGCTGTGCTTGTGTGCTTGATCATTCATAAATTCATCAAGCATCATAAAAGCTTTTACAAATTAACTTAAATCATTTAATATTTTGTGATTCAGCATTGCCAACAGGTAGCCAAAAGTTTGAGCTAACTTAAGCTGACAGTTCATTATAGTCAGCCACAAGCCTTCTGTGAGATGAATTTATAAAAAGGATCTCATTGTCAGTTAGGCTTGTGATCAATAAGCCTATTTTTATCTTATATGTGCAACATTACTACAGGAAACATTGTTTGAGGGAATTTTCCTTTCAGAAAATCAGTAGTTCAATTATAATGAAATTTTTAGATGATTTTTAGGACTTGTGAAACAATAATGTCTATTTAGAGCAGTCAAATTTCTCATTAGGAGAAGCGTGAAAATAAGCTGTGCGTTGTCCAAGTTGAAATGCGCTACTAACAGGGGTATTGGCTGATCAAAATCAAAATTTTTATTATATACCGTTGTTTTAACCTCGGCTATGCCATATATATTCGCTCTTGCGAGTTGCATTTCAGACTTGGTATTTGCTTTTAGTGTTTACCAAAAGCGTTTATGTAAAATAAAGATAAATGGGTAGCCAAAAGACGATGACAATAAGAAAGTGCACCGTCTAATGTTTTAGATTACACGGTTTGATAAGAAAGAGAAAATCTGGCATGAATATATATACATAAAAATATGATAAAATAATTGGTGATTGTAAATGCTAAAATTCTTCAAAAATTATACTAGTCTTTTCTGCAGGTAGTTTTACGGAAAAGACAATATATTTAATTCTCCCATTCTATTCACCCAGCCTCTGGCTGCAATGTAATTTAATATGTGCTGTTGACATTTTTGAGGGATATTTAGTACAAACTTTGCGTATACTTAGGAATTTATCGTAAAATTATCCACTTATCATGTTTCTGATCGCACATTAACAAAAATTATTCTGTGATCATTTTTAAGCAATCCAATTTTGACAAAAATGCACTATGGAGTGAAACATCAAAATGTAGCGTGCAAAATGCATTTGATTTACAATTTCGTAAAAAGTCGCAGATTTTTGCCCATTTTTAGCATTTTTACTGCTGGACCTTTTGGTCTTCTTTTAAAACTTTTCATTAGGCTTGCCAATTTTGAATGAAGTGAATGCAATGATCGGTGGGAAAGATAATAGTTTTTTTTTAATTTAACCAAAGTTGAGTGTTTCAATATTGTTCATTACAGAATTTTACAGGTTTAAAAAAATATATTCATTGAAAGAAGAGTTTTTTTTTTAAATATCAATTTTTCTTTTAATTAGGCCTTCTTACTGATTTTAATTGTTTTTTTACGTTTAAAAAAAATGCGAAGATCAAGCCTCTCTTGATTTTTGAAACCTGTCCAGCCAGTAGGCAAATTTTCGACAGGATGATAGTATAGCACATTGTATTTCTTTCCTAACTATGATTTTTCCATTGAAATGTATGATATAGATAGACTACTTACAAATGACAATACTTGTGCTGTTTAGGTGATTAACCAACATAGTTGTAGATAAAAAATAATGTAATTGTGAGTATTACCTGGTATGGTGTTAGTGATTATAAATAATCAAATATTGTTATATTTAAGCATACTTGACAATAAAGAACAAGCACTTTTTGAAAGCATTTTTATAGATGATAGTAAGATGTCAAAAAATTTATTGAAGTAATTTTGATGTTTAGATCAATGTCGAGAATGGAAGTCAATAAAAAAATAAAAATAATTGTTCATTTAGCGAAAATATTGTTTCCTTAAAAATAACTAAAATGTCCTCTTAAAAATTGTGTATATTTATGATTTATAAAATTCACTCTTTAAAAAAAAACCATTTAATAGATATTTTGATGATGATGATAAAAATAACATTAAATTAAATTATATTTTTAGGTTTCAGCGATGAAAAAAGTTAGCAATTAAAAAATAATTTCCATGTGCGCCTTCCACAACGAGAAGACCTGCGCCGCAAAACAGGTCAGCAACGCGGGTTGCAGAAGCACTGCATTTACTCATTTCATTGGAGACGCGGAGCAGTTAAATTGATATTTTATGCTGAAAATATGTTATTGCAATTTAAAAAAAATGACATTCAAAAATTTAATCTTACAGGCTAATATAAAATTCATCAATTTTTATATTGGAAAAGTAAGCAAACAATATCATGGTCTTAGATTTTGATGTATTTATTTTATCAAGTTTGTATAACTGATCCTGACACATTAATATAATAACCGTGGGAAATCCAACAGTTTTCCAGCGAGTAATTTATGGACAGGCAAGCTATTTTCAAAGCGGAGATGGTGGGAAGGAATAAATAAAATTTGCACCTGATCCTCTTGTGCTTAAAATAAAGAAATGCGACGGAAGTTTTGAAACACAATATATATAATAACAGATAAACGTATAAGAAGCAGCGGTCACTAAAGATTTAGTATGATAAAATTCACAAATTCTTACAAAATTGATTTTGTATATTACATTTTACAACAGGAGTATATAGAGATATATTATTTTGCTTGATGTAAATCGCGGCTTCAATAGTTTTATTCAATTAGGCGTTCCCTTTGATTAATCAGGGCGTTTCTGTCTACAGGCAACTATATTAGTTAGGTAATTAGAACTAAGCGCATGCAATTTTTAAGACATACATGATTTTTCCATCTAGTTGCTGATGCTTATTTTTGGCACAATTAATTAAGTAATACTTTCGACAAAGATAACTTGCGCATCTACAAAAAGCACATTCAGATTTTTTTTCAATTTAATTTAAACATTACATGGATTTTTCTTGCACCTGTCACTTTTAATTAATAACACACAACGCATTTAGAATATGACAGTGAACATGAGACGGACAACATAATAATTTCATTTTTTGTTTCAACTTTTCATTGTATTTCTTCTGCATGGCGGTCCATAATAAAAAAAATGGCAGCAAAAATTTAGACAAAGATTTTTTAACCTCTTCCGTTTGTGCCCACTTTACCAGTGTGACAATGAGATTTAAGCTTATATTCCATTTAAAACTAAATAGACACCAGCACACCGATTTTCACATTTACACAATTTAATTTTAGGTGGTACCGAGGTAGAATTTTGAAACTAAATTATTTCTTTTTATCAAAATAATAAAAAAAGTGACAAGCTATGATCATTGGCTTGTCTAGGAAATAAAATTTAAATTTATACAATTCTTTTGTGTATATGATTTTCTTCTTAAAACAAAGTCTCAAACTCACAGTGCTCCATATATGAACATATTGACATAGGCATAATTATAGGCAATCTCCAAAAAAAGACTAATAAATTAATTTTTATCATCATAAAATACTATTTTCTTTTTATATAATTCCCTGCAAGAGCTGTGATCAGATTGAGAATTTGCGATATGTAGAAGCAGTGCGTTTTTTCATAACTGGGAAGCATTTGCGAAACGTTTTGCATTTCCTAACTTTTGCAAGGAGGTGTCTACTTTGTAAGAAATTAAAAGAGTGATATTTTTGGATGCAACTCTTGCAGCAGATTTTTTTCGATGAATTTCTCCCTATTTAGCAGTCACTTACACACTTACTAAATTAATACTCACAGAAAAAATTTAGATCCGCATCGTGTTTACTTTTGCGATACTTCAGCTATACTTTTGCTATTCACTTGCTTTACTTTTTAAAAACTGTATACCTGTTTAACACGGGCCTTATGAGGGAGGGTTTTTATACCTGCTCGTCAAACTATTGTGTTTTGTAAAGAAAGGAGGGGGAGGGATGCAAACGCATGTATTTTAGAGCGCGGCCGGCAAGGGTCGCGCAGCAGGCGAGCTGTCAAAAGTAAACCTAGAGTATTGCAAATGTATGCGTGCGGGACCGAAAAATAAGCGTTTTAGACCGCGAGACGTGATGAATACTAAAAGTATACTAGAAGTATCGCAATTGTAAACACGATGGGTACCTAACCGATTTCTGTGAGTACAAAGAAGCAATCGTCTCGTTCAGAGTGGTCTTTTGGGAAAATGCTGACTGCTGACGTGCGGCCACCAACTAAAAATGAACCTGCCGCCCCGCACAGCCATGAGTTCAGACCACCCTAGTTAATTTTTACACTATATAATTTTATTCCTCTCTTTGTTAAATTTAACATGGAAACATTTCGATCGAGTATTATGAGAAAAAATTCATCTCTTAACAGCTAAAGCCGCCATGTAATAAATTATCCTTATTTATGCAAAGTATGTGTGTGAGTGTGTGGAATCATGTGTTTCGTTATTCCTCCCATTCAGACTTTGCCGCGCCCTGCGTTTCAGCGGCATTCGCGGGCCCGTCTTTGGAAGCGGCGCATCCTCGAGTGCCACTCGTCCCGCCACTCAATCACTATTGACCGTCGGGACACTTCGATGCCAGGCCGTCCCGGTACACTGCTCTCGCGGTCACCAACTATCAAGTACAATCTAAAACAAAGGAACAATTTTTATTTGAAATATTGAAAAAAAAATATCATTTTAATTTCCTGATTAAGTTTTGTAATATTTTGTTTTAATTTTCAAATTTGAACCAATTTATTTATTTATTTATTTATTAATGATTTCATGTTATAATAATTCTAATTTATGTAGAAAAAGTAAAACATATTTTTCTTTATTTATTGCTGATTAGTAATATATTCGTTCCAAGAATAATTTTAAAGTGAACAATTAATAAATCCAAACATGAAAACTTAATTTATCAGTCTGTTGTCTAATCTTCTTGATTAAAATAATTTATGATAGCAATTAAACATGTAATTGATAATTTTGAAGTGTTTTTTGGGCTTTACCTGTTTAAAGTTTAATTCAAAATTATTGAATTTTAGATTTATTACTCACTTGTTGGTTTTGACTTTTGGACACTTGCAGTTGAGGTCGGAGGCGAGCATCCACACATATGTGGGTCCCTTCCGCAGGAACGCAGGGTTAGCTCCGTTGTTCCTCGGCTTCTTGTAGAGCGCGTCGACGAGCACCGTGAAACGAACCCATTCGTCCACCATCTCGCGGCCCGTCACCTTCACAAGGACCGCTGCAAAACAAATAATGCCAACCAATTAGCACCTAAACCGCTCATTTCCGACCCGCCACCCCAAGCATTAATCTCTATAGCTGACACGCAGACGGCCCCAAACCACACAAACCCCAACCGGAGAGAAGTTTCTCGAGCCTAACGAGGGGATTTTCAAAAAGTTGTGGAGTGTAGTTAGGTGCCAGCATTTTCAAAATAAACAAATTTTAATATATTAATTCAATGAAAGTTTAACAACGCTTTGATGTTTTGCCGGCAAAACAGATTGATTCCGAATCTTAATCTTGCAGAGTGTTTGACTAGTTGGAAAACAAGCTGTGTGTCGTGGAATCAATCACTGTCTGATCATTGATGCTCGAACACTTATTTCCATGCGCCTAATTGAATAATCAATCGCCTGTCCTGCGACTAGCCAAAGCATCATACTCTTAACGATTTTGATCACAACTTGAATAAATTTAAAGATGTGCGTAGGAATGAATTTTCAATTCTTTTGAAATAAAATTAATAGATTTAATATTGTCTTCAATTAATATATAATTATAATTATATTATAAGTAATATTTTTATTCCAGTTAAAAAAAATTACCAAAATATTAATGAAAAGCAAAATAAAATTAATATGAAAAAAACCTAATTTAAATTTTCAAATGTTTTCATAATTTAATCTTTACAAATATATACTTGTCTTTTAATAATAGTGTAGAGTAAAATCTATGATGCAATTTTTTCTAGAAATTTATAAGAATAATGTTTCTGCTAGACTCAGCACGTTTCGTCTGGAGAAAGACTCCGGAAAGTTGCTTTCCCTGAAGTTTACTCCACCCGCACGTCAGCCGAGAGAAAAATGAAACATTTAGTTAACTCGGTGGCTTTTTGGCATCGCTTTTTTCTCGGCAGCCAACTTTCCGACCGTTTTTCTTCTCTTATTAGGGCCGTAAATCATGCAACTCTCTATTTTGCTTATTTCTCTCTCGGCGCGGCGGGGCTGCCGTTTTTTCGGGGGAACAATTTCGGTGCGCGTATGTATATAAAATGAGGCTTTACTCAATAATTCATTGTGAGAGACAGGCCTAATCCCGGCAGACTTACAACGCGCATTACAGAAACAAATGGAACTTTTATCTCGAGTCGAAAGCGCATAAAAAAAGTAGCGGCAGCAACGAAGGAGGAACGGCACTTTTGCAATCGCCAAATCTGTTAATAAATTTGATCGCGCTGTGTAGGGGAGAGTAAAAGCGGTGAACCTGCGCAAGATTTAAAAGATTTAGCAACCCTCCTGCAAATCTCGCGCCAGTCTTCGAGAAAATCTCAACAAAATGCATTTGTTACGTCGGCAGGTGGGATTGTGTCGCGAGGTGGTAAAATCTTATTCTGGCAAACGCTTTTTGCCGTGCTTTGTTTGCCAAATCAGATGTAGCTCACGCAAAAATTGCAATTTTCTCTATATTAATAAATAAGCAAATTGACAAAATAAATCTTTCAAATTATGTAAGTTGAAGACTGAAAACAATATTAATTTATATTTGCATAAATAAACGAGCTTTTTATATCTTTATTTTGGAATTCTACTTCTTGATATTACTTCTTATCAATTATAATAAAATTTGATAAATTTTTAGATAAATTACAATAATTAAACCCATTAATGCAAAAAGATAAAAATGGTCTTAGGCTGCTTACAATAAATTTTAATTTTTTGCCAAAACAATAGTTTAAAAAAATTAATGCCATAATATTTTGAACTTCCAGACGTCCAGAATGCCTTCAAAAAATTCCGTTATGAAAATTAGATAGAATTGACTCATTTCGCCGCGGGTAAGTAAAGGAGTTTGAATAATAGCCCGCGTCATGTATTTGCAAAATTGATTGATTAATTTGCATAAAAAGAGTGTCAGGTCAAATTACAAAAACCTACCGAAATCTTTGCGGCAATACTTGTTCATGTTGAGCCTCTTGGTGGCCGCAGGGCAGGTCCCACACTGATCTGAAAGCAGAGATTAAAAAATTAGATGCAAAGGTCTTATTTTACAAGGCAGGCCGAGAAAGCTGATTTGCATGCGTTCACTTCACCCGTGCGTCTTAATGAGTGAGTGGTTAGAAGAAGTTATTAAAAAAATATTCATAGGCCGCGCAACCGCGAGTGATTAATTGTTCTTGCATATGGCCAGCTAGAAATACATAGGTATACAATTTCTCCTCAAAAGCAGAGATAAAGTATCTCTTTCCCGTTTGGCCCACGCGGCTCTGCTTTTTCTAATTTCCACGTCTGTGGTTCGAGTGGGCGGACGAAAAGAAGTGAGATTTCCACCGGCGGATCTGTGTTATTTTTTGAGCTGAACAACAACGGACACGCAAGCTTTGTACGTAAAAAGTCCCTACAGCAGAGAAGAAAAAATTAATTTGACCAGTCACACATGAAGGGGCAAAGTAAATCGCCGCTCCGATGGGGACGTTTTGAGTTATTGCACGCTTGTACCGTAATATGTAAATAAATCTTGAGCAATTTAACACGCACTCTGATCAAATATTGGACCGACTCAATTAAAATAAGCCATTCATTTTTCCAAGCGGGATACGAATTAATCGCTTGTCAGAAGAATTACGTGTGGCACAGGCGCCGTAAATCCTGAAGAATAACTCACAGATTTCAAGGCTTAATTCTGTCTAATATTTTTAGAGAAATTTAAAAACTAAACTGCATAAAAAAGAAATGATATTCTATTATTAAACTAACAATTAACAATAAGATAAAATTAATAATTTAACAGTTATCAACTTTTTAATTAAATTTTAAAAATAAATGAAAGTTTTCAAATTTTTGTGTTTGTAAAAAAAAGTAATGGCTGCAGGCATCCTCAAACCTACCCCTCTTCTGTATAGCAATCTCATTTTTTGGCCTCTCTCTTGAGCCATTTTTGTATCCTGCGGCAAAATACATTCTCGAGAAATTTCCCATCTCAAATTAACTGGCGAACGCAGGCACCTGAGTGAATTTGCGGCGAGGGCATGTATGTATGAATCTGTGTTTTGTTGTGGGGTATACAGATCAATTTCAGAGCCGACCCACTCTCGGCCAAGCACAGACAAAACCAACTTCTCTTTCGGCGCCGCCTTGATTATGCTAAATTTAGTTAGCGATTGGTCTCTGTGTGGCAAAAGGCAAAACAGGCAAACTAGGTGCGGTGTTGGAAGAGCGAGTTGGAAGGCCGAGACTGCTGCTCACTGGCACTCATTTAATTAAATACCTGAGGGCGCCGTGGGAGATAGAGAGTCCATGCACACTCTCTCATCCCCTTGGTAGCGGAATTTTCACCTGCATTCGGCGCCACCCTTGTAGCATCAAAATATATTTTGAATGCGAGTGAAATTCAGGTTTAAAATTTCAAAAATAATTATTTTCCCTCTTTTGTGTACAACTGTTTTCTTCTATCTAGAATATCTACATATTTAAAATTTTCAATTCAATTTTGCCATTATAGCAAATTCAAGCCAATTGAAATTGTTTACGAAATATTCTGCTCGCTATATTAGAACCATTGGTCATTTTTATTAAAGAATACTAAGGGAAACTCACAACGAAATTTAAATTTCAAGCATATTTTTTTAATCATATTTAATTTAATTTACCTTCTGTTGCAATAATCTATAAAAAGTGAGAGAAATTATGAAAACTAAATACGCCCATAATTGTGCTAAACGTGTCTGGCGTATAGAAATTTCTGGACTTGAAAAAAGAAAACAAGTGAAATTGGCGCGATGATGGCGTTTGTGTCGTTTTTGCAGGGTTAGACGGTGTACTGAGGGTGCACGGCAGTTGCTAATTAGTTAGCCTGAGGCGGTACATCCATCTGCCAGGCGGAGCAAAATAAATGAAAAGCGCCTAAACACCAAAATGCAATTATATTAATACCGAGGAGATATAAATCCTTCAGGTTGCCTGCGCTGCTCCTTGTAATATTTCGATGCTCCAGCGACAAAAATTCCTCTCACCCGCGTACGGTGCTTCAAAAATACATCCCGCACCCTCCGACCGAATTTATTTCCCTTCTGCTTTTTATTCGCGCTACCACCGCGGGGTAGTTTCGATAAAAATTGTTACCGAGAGGAACGTGCAGGAGAGATTTCTCTGCCCTTTTTTCCAGAAACACCGCGTCGTTTCTCTTATAATTTAAATCCACTCGTTCCGTACTTGAGCCCGGAGAGATTGTGCCCGAAAGAATCAAGCAAACGTAAAAGAAAAGTATAAGAGAGAGCGGATTGCAGATTGCGACTGGAAAAGCTCTGGTATTATTCTTCCTTTTCCTGCTATTTAAATATTATAACGAAGAGCGGAATGGGCGGAAAAAAGTCAGAAATTCAAAGCACACACACACTTTTGTAAACGTGCTTCTTTCTCGTCGGATTTTATACAAAAAATCCGGCAGCCGTGTGTGACACAAAAAAGCTTTTGCGTTGCACTGCAGGTTAAAAGAGCGCGTGGGGCGCTTTTAATTACAGACGGCGGGCGGCTTCGTTTGTGGATAATTAAGTGCGCGCAGGTACTACACTTGTTCTGGCGTCGCTTGTGTCGACGGAATCCGCGTCATATATTAACACAAAATGCATTTAATGCTCAAAACTCACCTTTGGCAGAAGCGGCTGCTGACGTGCCCGTCCCCGTGTCCGCCTGGCTGCCAGCATCGATTCCACCAATTTTCGGCATTCCTGAAAATAGTTTTATTTAATAAATTATGAAAACTTTAACTGTTGCATGAATTAGCAAAGTTATTTGATGAAATAACATTTTGCTGTTTGGGCATATTTAATTGATGATAATATATTTCATATTATTAATGTTCTCATTGGATAATAAATTAATTTAGCCAATAATTTATAGCACTATAAAATTAATTTAAAAAGAAGATCATTTACAAGACGGAAATTTTAAATTTATTATTAGATTTTTTTGCAAACCAAAATCAAAATAATATCAGCTATGATCACTCTGACAAGTCTCACTATAATTTTTGGTTAGAAAAGAAATTAAATGAAAATAAAAAAAGTTTTTTTTTAACTAATGATTTTGCTCTTTTAATATATTTATATTTTTAAAAAGTAATTAAGCATTCAATTTTAATCTCTACGTCGTATAATTTGATATAAAACTAGTACAATAACCGCTACTATTTTTGCATTGTGAAAATAAAAGAAATAGAGCAAATATTTTTAGACTATAATAGATACTCAAATGTATAAATAAATGTGCTGCATTCTAAATCCGCAACACTTGAATAACCATGCTACAATTGTGTCTGATGTGGGTGGCGTGGGCTCCCTTGCTGCTATTTTTGTTATTTTTTTACTGTTCACCCAGTTGCGATCCGCGAGGGTGAGCCGATTTTTGTAATGAAAGTGGAAACACAAAACTGTACTCACTGATGCAGGGAGCGATGTGTGACCTGCTCTGCTGGTAGCCTTTGGCGCAGCGGTTGCAGGTGGTGCCGGTGACACCATCCTTGCATGGGCACTGCCCACTCGTCTGGTTGCATGTCTTGCCCGAGGCGCCGATCGGATGACAGTCGCACGCTGAAACACACGCATAAAGGCGCACACGCCACATTAAACTAGTTAATTAAATTGTTTGCGGGGGGAGGGGATGGCACAAAGGGTTTAATTTACCTCATTTGTAAAAGCAAACTCGATTAATAATCGTCATTTTTTTGGCAGTTAGAAATCAAATGGCTTATTAACTCTTCGAGAGTAAGATATTTTGTTGCTGTGTAAAAATCTTATTGGCTATAGTTATTTGTCATAAAAGTTATGTAAGTTGAATAAAGGTAATATTATAGTCTAACTGATTTTTGATTCCACTTACTTATTCATTGATTAATGTTTAAGTATAACAGAGTCCTGGTTTGCAATATTTATTACATAAAAATATAGCATAATTATTTTATATAATTTCCAGTTACAATTAAAAATAGAAAGATAAAATTTCAGCTATAAACATATTTGCTAAAATTGTATTTATATTTTAAGAAGTAAAATACAATTTAATTAATTAAACAAGGAATAAATGTAATCTTTAAAAAATAAATAATTAACAATTTTTAATTTATCTTAAAAATAAAGAAACATGCAAGATCTGTATCTGCACATGGATACCACTTTCGTGTCAAAAAAAGAAAAGGAAGGCACCGGGCAGTTTAAAAGTAATCAAAACGTGCTCGGAAATCTCATCGGCCGGACGCCTTGGGCGGTCAATTGGTCGGCGGAGCGCGCAGCGAAAATGGCGAACCCCTGAGGATGCAAAAAAGCAGGTATTTCGGACACGCACGCCGCGCGGTGACAGATGAAGTGGCGAGGTGTCGAAAAAAACGCTCTCGTGGGAGGTGCACCTAATCAGTGGTGCCGAGGACGTGCTCTGCAAATGCGATCGACTGCCCCCGGGGGCGGCTCGTCGAGATGAGGAAGCTCGAATGTAAGGGGAAGATTCTTCTCTTTGCGCTGCCTCCACGTTTCATTTTATTTACCCTTGGTGGGCCATTTCCACACTGGCCACTTCCAGCAGCAGCCGATTGCGCTCGCGAGCGAGAAAATGAAAAAAGGCCGCGATAGTCTGGAAAACGTGTGAATGCGATCAGATTATCTGAGTCAGGGGCGGAACTTACAAGTAGAAACTGTAACAGATTCACGAATAAACAAAATTATCAAAATCTGAGGTAAACATAAATTTATGGACTCCTTCAACTTATTGACATAGTCAAATCAAGTAAATTAATATAACTATGTTGGTTAAAATTTCTAATTGTTTTCCTATAATTCCCAAAATGGTTCTTCTTTTGTATAAAATAAGGAGTCCGTATAATTAATGATAAAAATTTTTGAATTCAGAATGATTAAATTTACCAATATTGTTTCATAAAATTTAATTAAAGCAATTCATGTTAAACATAATGAAACTCTATTGTTCAACTTAACATAAGCTTAAAAATTGAAAGTGTGAAGTGTCGCATCCGCTCCGTTCCGCCCCTAAACTATCTCAGGAATGAGAATTTGCTTTTTACAACTTTATTTTACGGCATCTCTATGAAGTGTCGACCGACCCATTCTTTCCTTCTTTTCCTTCCTTCCGAGTCCAACCCAATTAGCAGACGAGCACCGTCGGCACTTCGTATGCCCATTGCTCTGCGGTCCAAACGACTGGCTCGGATGAACACCAAGTCAAATTGTTTTCCCGCCGCCACCGCCGTTGTCGACCCTTTTCTTCCGGCCTGAACGGAAAAGTAGCGGCAGGGGTGCGAGTGGGAAAATTGCATGCTCTGCTCTTGACTCATGTAACGACTTGTATACCTACCACTAAGCAACTAGTCCGAAAAACAAACTTCCAACCAAAGTCAATAACAAAATAGTTTTGAGCGAGTTTTTAAATGAAACCTCCTCAATGTGATTGAAAATTGAAATATGGAAGAATTATTTTAAAATATATTATTTTCTATAATTTTTTAAATTTTTCCTGCATAATAATTTTTTAATATAACTAATTTTTATAAAAATTTGTACAAAATTACAAAGACAATAAATTATTTCATTGTTGAAACTGATTTTTTTTACATAATAGTTATTGCTGATCAATTTTCCTGTCAAAGTTTGATTGGAAGTTTTATTTTAATCACTGGGAATGGATGATGCAGAGAAATATATTGGCTAAAAGTAATTAATTCTCTCTACGCTTTTCTCAACCCTTTGTAGTTTGTATAATCTAGAAGTTGATTCAGAGTCGTAAAGTCTCATTGTTTACACAAGAAATGTGATTGGAAAGGACTCTTTTTGCACAATCTGCACACTTCGGAGAGCGGCCTGAGCACCGGTCCAATTTTTGTTCTTGCCCCCTGGAGTCTATTTTTTGTGCTATCATATTGAATTTTACGAGAGAGCTTACTGATGCAAGAATCCAATATTCCCGAAGAAAATTAGATCTGAGTTGTTCCCTGCTGCCGTTCTATATAATAACATCACAGCCAAGAAGTCGCTCCATTATTATTATACGCGGGGCTGCTGCTGGAAATTACCGGGGCAAGGAGCAGAGTAGTGCGGCACAGGCTAATGCGATTTTTTCAATCTGCGCCGTTGATCCCCGAGATGCGGAGCAGTCCAAGTACAGGGAAACGCGAGAAGCCGCTCTTCGGCGGCTCGCCTCAAACTCAAGGTGACACCGGCTGTTCCACCTTTCATCTCCACTTCATTTTAACCTTGTTAGCGCTGCGATTTTGCATATTATCTTGATCGCGTTAGTCGCTATCTCTGAAATTCTAAGCTCAACATTTTCCCATTTAAGAATATAAGTGAGCCAATAAAACATCTTCAGAGACTTTTTGCAGCACTTTAAATTGTGATCATTGCATATATTTAAGTTTTGATGTTACGTTTTTAATGGTTTTTAACTTATTTGTATTAATTTGCCAAATTTTTTAATTTAGTAAGAAAATTTAATATAAAATAAAATAAATATTTCAAATAATTTACTTCGGTAAAAGATAAAGGAAAAGGAAACATCTCCTTGATGATTATTTTATTAATTAACATTCTTTGTAATACTATTTTGAAACCTAAATGATTGAAAATTATATAATTAACAATGGCCTGTCTAGTAAATTTTTAACAAAATAATTCAAATAATTTTGGAAATTTGGAAATTGGCGATCACGCTAAAGTAAAAAAATTAACTGTTGGAAAATTTATTTTTATGTATACATTTGAGTAGAGATAGAAAATTAAAACTCACTGGCCAATACTAACGGTAATTATAATTTACCATTAATACTTTTATTATTTACTTGATCCCTAACAATAAAAGAAGGGGGAAGCCTAGAAAGATTATAATTATTAATAGTGGCATTTTTATTTTCCAGAAATTTTCATGCCCTTTGTAACCTCATCTCTTTCATTTTTTTTTATCTACTTTTAACTTTTAACTACAAGAGAATGATGTGGGAAATTTCTAAATCAAGAGTGCGTATCTCTCAAAAACGTATACAGACAGATCATCGAATTCCAAAGCAGATTAATTCGTAAAGGAACACGCTCTTTTTCGAACAATGATAAGCACCTCAAGACCTTTTCCTCCCTTTCTTCTGCTCCTTCCTTTCTCTCTGTGCTCCGGAAAGTGCTGGTGGCTAATCAGTGAGCTGTCCTCCGCCGAATTATCCCCTTTAGCGCATCAACTCGATCCTCCTCCTAATGTGTCTCCGACGAAATCCCGGCTCTGCTATCTCTGCGAATCGCGCACAAAGAGGCCCTCCGTCTTTACCAGCAACTTACTATGTAGTTTGTACGTGCTGCTGTTAACTACACTAAAAGCCCTTTCAAGCTTAAGGGAAAAAATATTGCACACGCCTCCTCTTTCGCAACTTTCACTCTCGCAATTAGTTAGCTGAAAATAATTGCGTCACATTTTTCCGCTTGTAAAATGTCGCACCGAGTGACACCTCAATAATTCAGCACGGCCCGTTTATTCAAATGAAGTTATTAAATTTTATCTCTGCTTTTTATGGCCCATTCATCATGTTGGAGAGAAAGAACAGGCAGGCTTATGCTGCGAACAGCTTGACTCGATTTGTCCCATCACGTTGCATTAACTTAATTAAATCTTTCCTTTAGAGTGACTTTAAAACTTCCTGGAGCAAATTGGAATAATTAATATTAAGATGCAAGTGTTTTGGTTGGGGAAAAAATGTTTAAAGGCGTTAAACTGCTATAAATACAGGAATACAGCGATGTTTTTATCATTTCACAGTATTATTTTTTATAAATAATAATTAAGTAAAATTCTTTACCAAATGACCCATGCTAATTATACTAAAATGCCTAAAAATTGATCTTTTGTTATGCAAATTAAAATTTTATATTGTATTAGAAATAATAAATTCATCACAAATTACTTTCAAAGAGAAATAAATTCATTTTCTGACAAAATATCTTCTCCTTTTTTTCATATATGCTTTATCTCCTGTCTAAAATCAATTAAACAAAATTAGCTATTCCTTTCAAGAATTTAAGTGACAAAAAGCAATAACTTTGCCTTTTGAAACGCACGAACTGCAATGAAAGGTGCTCAGGTTTGAGTGTGGCGAATATGCAGACAAATGATAAGAGTCAAAGGGGAAATAAATTTTCATTAGTGCGATTGCAGAGTAAATCTGCTTTTGCGTTTATATACGTTTTATTTTCACATCCAAGCTCCCAATTTATGCTGATAGTCCCAATCCTATAGAGATAATTCCGGACTGCTAATAAAAGCCGGACTAACTCTGCGACCTCGCGGTGGTTATGCGTATTTACGAGCACCGGCAGACGCATTTTTGATCATGTGCGAACGAAAACTCGGCGCATAAATAAAACAAAGAGCGAAATGAGCTTTTTTATCTTGGCGCGCGCCCTCGCGGCTCGTTTTTCGGTTTATCAGAGCGGCTCTATCACTCCTCGGGGAGGCACAAATATAAAAGCGACGGACGTACGTACGGACGGACCCGCTCTGCCTCTTCAGCGTTTCAGTCGCCGCCGCCGACCGCCCTCGGCACGGCACT